TCCAATAGTTACATAAACACACAATTTGTGTTCAAGTTTGTGCAACCACACACACACACACACACACACACACACACACACACACACACACACACACACACACACATACACACACATACACACACACACACACACACACACACACATACACACACAGACACACACACTACACACACATACACACACACACACACACATTACACACACACACACACACACACACACACACACACACACACACACACTACACACACATACACACACACACACACACACACACACACACACTACACACACACACGCTTATGAGTCACCTTTCTCATTACTCAGAAGTTGAACAGGTACTCCTTAATGGCCAGTGTTAGTACATTTACTCAACGTTTCTCCTCTTATTACCTAAAAAACCTAACCTAACTTAACCTAACCTAACCCCACTCAAATACCATTAGGGTGTTTAATCTTCAGGTGAAATTAAACTATAGGTATCCAGTACTATTTTTACACAACATAATGAAATATAACTCGGATGTACAGACATACAGGCAGGCAGACAGACAGACAGACAGACATACAGACGAACGGAACCCAGACACACGAACATACCAGACAGACGAACAGAATGAACCGACAGACAGACAGACAGACATACCACAGACGAACTTTGAACGAACAGAACAGACACACGAACATACGGAGCGAACGCACAGACATACGAACGAACACGCAGACAGACATACAGACAGACAGACAGACAGACATACAGGCAGGCAGACAGACAGACAGACAGACACACAGACATACAGACAGACACACAGACAGACAGACAGACACACAGACATACAGACAGACAGACAGACAGACAGACACACAGACATACAGACACCAGTAGACGAGAAACATTCATCACAGAGCCACCCTTAGCCAACACGCATCTCACCTCACGCCAACACCATATACTAATTATCTTACGTAACTTATTAAATGATCTTTTCTCTTTATGTAGTGCGTGTGTTGACTTCATTATGGTATCGTGTTTTGGCGTAATGACTGTGGCTGACCTTATCTGTCTGAGAGATTAGCTTCCTGAACTTCGGCGTAGTGCAAGTTGATGATGTACTGTACGGCTAGTTGATGTACTGTATGGATAGTTGATGTACTGTACGGCTAGTTGATGTACTGTACGGCTAGTTGATGTACTGTATGGCTAGTTGATGTGCTGTACGGCTAGTTGATGCACGGTACGGCTAGTTGGTGTGCGGGTAGTTGACGGACGCTAAATTGACGGTAAAACAATATTACTAAAAATTATAATACCGGGACCTTCAACTAAAGACACGATATAAAAAAAATGCTGATATCGTGACCCTGAAACAACGTAGATGAGAAAATAGCATTATATCCTGCTCAGGAAATTATGGCGAGTTCAGCAAATAATCCGCCTCGAATTCTCTTGTTATACGAACGCTCATTACGATCGTGTTATGGAGCTGTGATCCCGGTCTGAAAGGTTTAATATATTGCTATTATAAGTTAGGTTAATTTTCGTGTAACTATTTCAGCTTAGAACGGATGTAACAACTCTTATTGCGAAGACGTCCTCCTCAGGTAACTACAGATGCGTACCTTCGTCTAACTCTCTTTGTGAACGGTTATAAACTTGTAGTAAATCACCTGTTGTCCTTATAGAGGAAAAAATAAACAATTGGAGACTTTTAACTGCCCTTGGTGCACCTCACAGTACTGGACCACAACTGAGGGAACACAAACGCCTTATGAGAGACGGACCATCGTAGTCCGTGTAGGATCATCGTGTCAGTCACTGCTCCTTCTCAAAACAAAATTCCTTCTTCATTTGTATCTTGATTTAGTTATGAAACTATATATGATTTTTTATAAGATAGTGCACAAGACGAAAATAACTTTCACCTTTCGAAGTTATCACTAATGAGAAATCTGTTACAAGCTGCTGACTTGAAGAGTTTCTAGTAAAATCATTTTCTCTTATATCAAAAAAGATTTATTCACAGAAAACAAACTTTCTTTTCATCTGGTAAACTAAAGTAAACTAAGGTGGCTCTTGTTAGCGAAGGTAGACACGAGAATATGTTCAATAAAATCATCATACATTTTCACATTGGTTCAGTATGAAGGGATTCCATTCTTCTCTTTATATATTATGATTTAATGGCCCCTGAGTGTGGACTACAGTTGTTTATGGAGGGTGACTAATGAGGAGGTAGTTGTTGTAGTGGTTTACTACTATAAGTATTTCCTAACCAGAGTTCCATGTTAATGTTCAGCAGTGGATAGTAATTGTTACCAGAGCTTCTGGAGGGAGTTATTGTTGTGGTCGCCGGTCTACTCTTCATGTGGTGTGTGTGTTAGCTTTCTACCTGTGCACCATCTCACCACAGCAGCTATAACAACAGTCTGTCATATTGGTTGCCCTTGAACACTGCTTATCTGTTTACGACGCACGTATGTTGCCAGCTCTCACATCTCACATATCAGATAAAAGCGAAACCTGATCCCACACTTATCATAATGAAAGCCAATTTCTACTTATCATTTATTTCATTTCCGTTTTAATTCTTCTTTTTTTTCATTGTTGTTTATTTAATGTTGTAGATACTGAAGAAGTCTTGATAATAAGGAATGTACGTGGTTAGGTTTAGCACATGTTGTCTCTAATTTAAACCCCGTTCAGGTAGCAGCCAGTGAGGGAACACTTGCCTCACCTCACCGTAGCGACGACTAACAGTTCCGTGTCGTGTGTGGGGAAGGTTGTACCAGTGTTAAAACGAGTGCCATGGTTGAGAGGTATATCATTGGCACCTCTCACTAGACAGGACGGTGGTAGGAGTGCCAGTGTCATGAGGGTGGGAGGAGTGCCAGTGTCATGAGGGTGGGAGGAGTGCCAGTGTCATGAGGGTGGTAGGGTGCCCATGTGAGGGGTGGTAAAGGTGTCAGTGTCATGAGGGGTGGGAGGAGTGCCAGTGTCATGAGGGGTGGGAGAGTGCCAGTGTCCATGAGGTGGTAGGAGTGCCAGTGTCATGAGGGGTGTGGTAGGAGTGCCAGTGTCATGAGGGTGGTAGGAGTGCCAGTGTCATGAGGGTGGAAGGAGTGCCAGTGTCATGAGGGTGGTAGGAGTGCCAGTGTCATGAGGAGTGTGGAAGTGCCAGTGTCATGAGGGGTGGTAGGGTGCCAGTGTCATGAGGGTGGAAGGAGTGCCAGTGTCACGGGGTGGTAGGAGTGCCAGTGTCATGAGGGGGTGGAAAGGTGTGATGTCGCTGAGGGTGGAAGGAGTGCCAGTGTCTCATGAGGTGGAAGGTGCCAGTGTCATGAGGTGGTAAGTGCCAGTGTCATGAGGGGTGGAAAGTGCCAGTGTCACGAGGGGTGGTAAGTGCCAGTGTCATGAGGGGTGGTAAGTGCCAGTGTCATGAGGGTGGTAGGAGTGCCAGTGTCATGAGGTGGAAAAGTGCCATTATACGAGGGTGGTAGGAGTGCCAGTGTCATGAGGTGGAAGGAGTGCCAGTCATGAGGGGTGGAAGGAGTGCCAGTGTCATGAGGGTGGGAGGAGTGCCAGTGTCATGAGGGTGGGAGGAGTGCCAGTGTCATGAGGGTGGGAGGAGTGCCAGTGTCATGAGGGTGGGAGGAGTGCCAGTACCATGAGGGTGGGAGGAGTGCCAGTGATAGAAGTGTCTTGTATTAACAGATACAAAGGGAACACAAGGAGATAAATATTACACACACACACACACACACACACACACACACCATATGATGATAAACAAAGACATTATTTTGGTTCACATTTTCATTGTTTTTTTGCCCCCATAAACATTCTCCAAACACCACACTCTATATGAGCATTAATGTCATTACAATTATCAGTCACAAGTATATTAATTAGTCTCTTGAATCAAGTTATTTCTACAAGTCTTTGATTTATGGCAGTTGCCAAACACGGAACACTACAATCTATGTGTTTAAATACCTTAAAAACTCTTATTTTTAATCAATCACAGAATTTATAAGTACCATTTATAATAATAATTATTACACTTATTACAAGATAATTTTGTTTATAATATTTTCTGATAATGCATCATCTACAGTATAACACATCACTTGATAACAACTACTGCACACAGCCGAGTATTACCACAGGTATTTTAATTCTCTCTACACATTGTTTAATAATTTGGGGTGAACATCGTTTATTATAATTAACGGTACTCGTATTGCCTTAGTGCCCATAATAAATAAACAAATTATAAGGTAAAACACTTGAGATAAACATTAACTACATTAGGTCATAACAAAAGAATTATTTTTCCTCAGATTTTTATAAGTATAAATTATGCTGAAGCTATCAAGTGTGCAGCACATTCCTGGAGTGTGGGTGTGTTGTGAGCACATTCCTGGAGTGTGGGTGTGTTGTGAGCACATTCCTGGGAGTGTGGGTGTGTTCTAGTCTGACACATTCCTGGGGAGTGGGTATAGTCTGAACACATTCCAGGGGTGTGTTGTGAAGCAGCACTTGTGATGTGTTGGTAGGGACCGGTTCCAGACAAACAACATTAGTAGCAGTGTTAGCAAACAACTGATTGTACAGTTGCATCACGTCACGCTGTTGTTGATTTTCCTTGAGTAAATATTCGTTCTTCTGTTCTTCTTCCTTTAGTTGTGCTTGCAGTGTTTTGATCTCATCTAAGGCTCTCTTAAGTGTGTTGCCCAATTCGTCTGTTTCCTGTTTCTTCCTCTCGCGGTTTCTTCTTGCTTTAATAGAGTTCTGTCTCCTCTTCTCCTCTGCCGGGTCAGGACACTTTCCTTCCTTTTGCCACAAGAAGGAACCGTTCGTGGTGCGTGTGGATCCTCTCTGTTGATTATTGTGAAGGGCGCTGGCAACCCCACCAAGTTCCGGTGAGTTACTCTGCTGCTGGGTGTCAGGATTGTCAATAAGAATGTCTTCCCCAGAAATTAACTCCATTATATCTTTAAGGATGAGTTCGTCTGTACCACCCAGCTGACAGTTTGGAGGTAGCCCTTGTGTACCACCCAGCTGACAGTTTGGAGGTAGCCCTTGTGTACCACCCAGCTGGCTGTTTGGAGGTAGCCCTTGTGTACCACCCAGCTGGCTGTTTGGAGGTAGCCCTTGTGTACCACCCAGCTGGCTGTTTGGAGGTAGTACCACCCAGCTGACAGTTTGGAGGTAGCCCTTGTGTACCACCCAGCTGGCTGTTTGGAGGTAGCCCTTGTGTACCACCCAGCTGGCTGTTTGGAGGTAGCCCTTGTGTACCACCCAGCTGGCTGTTTGGAGGTAGCCCTTGTGTACCACCCAGCTGGCTGTTTGGAGGTAGCCCTTGTGTACCACCCAGCTGACAGTTTGGAGGTAGCCCTTGTGTACCACCCAGCTGGCTGTTTGGAGGTAGCCCTTGTGTACCACCCAGCTGGCTGTTTGGAGGTAGCCCTTGTGTACCACCCAGCTGGCTGTTTGGAGGTAGCAGTGTGGTCTTCTGGGGTTCTCCTTGGATGAGGTCCCACCGGAGGTACTGAACATCAGGGCCGGAGTCATCTTTATCACCTTTAGCGTTAGTCACTGATTTCATCTCGGCTGCATTTGCCAAATCCTGGTTTGAACTTTCTAATTTTGCGAGAGTAATTATATTTAGAATATTATCAGAGTCTTCTTCACTGCTTGGTGAGCCTTCCTGGCGTTGGTGGCTCATGGTGGAAGGAAGATGTGAAATACCGGAGAACAATTTTATGTCACTTATTATTTTCAAGATCAGTTACTTTTTATCGACTCAGAATAGTCGTTTCGGTATCAATGCAAAGTTCTTTTCACGTTGTTGAGATGATGTGTTTGTATATTGCTTGGGCGTGCGTGCAAGTGTGTTGTGTCCTTGTGCATATGAACACACCTCTGGCAGCGGTACTATAGTTGGCTCCGTGCAGTAATGTTCAACGTTTGCCTCTGTGACCAAAGAAAATGAAATGGTTACTGGGGTGACTATAGAGAAAGTTACATATTTTCCTGCTTTTACTTTAATTAAAAAAATTATTGGTTTATTGCAAGGAAAGCAACAGGTTCTATAATAAACAAAAGTTTCCTATAATGTGCACCACAATTATTGTTCTCATACCAAACCGGAACACGATGGGCTTTACCAGGAATCGTCTGTAAACGAACACTGTGAGTGATGAAAAATATAAAGAAGTAACACAATAGACACAACCGGGCTTACCAGACACCACACAAGTATGATGACCATCAGGAATACTGCAGGGCGACACTGGAGAGAGTGAGAGACACACACACACACGCACACAGCTACACCAACGAACTGACACCCGAGGACCGCAACTCCCTACACTACCCGTCAAGGCGAATGTGGACAAAACGTTTATATCACTAAGATGTTCTAAAGGGTTCCAAATCGTCAATAAACAACTGCCACAAATAATAAACATAAATTATACATATTTTAATTGTGAATATTTCTTACCTTAATTCTCTGTGTGTTACCTCTCAGTCATGTATTATAATGGAGTATTGTTACATAATATCTTTCAAACTATACAGTGCTGCACACTTCACATTCTACAATATACAATTTTATTAACTGCTCAGTACAGTGAATTAATTAACACATGACCAATACGTTAATCAGTATCTAAGGAGTTTTAGAAGCTTTTCAATCCCCTTGAGTACGATGACCTATCTCCTGGTGTAAGGTGGTGCCCGTCCTGTACGGTTATGTACGGTGCCTCTCGTACTCAGGAGGTGCCCGTCCTGTACGGTTATGTACGGTGCCTCTCGTACTCAGGAGGTGCCCGTCCTGTACGGTTATGTACGGTGCCTCTCGTACTCAGGAGGTGCCCGTCCTGTACGGTTATGTACGGTGCCTCGTACTCAGGTGGTGCCCCTGTACCCACGGTCCTGTACTCAGGTGGTGCCCGTCCTGTACGGTTATGTACGGTGCCTCGTACTCAGGTGGTGCCCGTCCTGTACGGTTATGTACGGTGCCTCTCGTACTCAGGAGGTGCCCGTCCTGTACGGTTATGTACGGCGCCTCTCGTACTCAGGTGGTGCCCGTCCTGTACGGTTATGTACGGTGCCTCGCGTACTCAGGTGGTGCCCGTCCTGTACGGTTATGTACGGTGCCTCTCGTACTCAGGTGGTGCCCGTCCTGTACGGTTATGTACGGCGCCTCTCGTACTCAGGTGGGAGGTGGGGGGGTCAGGGGGAGGGGTTAGTCTGCATGTCTATCTCGCCTTTTTTTCATAAATATATTTATCCTTCTGTCAATTATGTCTCTTATATACACTTACTTTATGTGTCTTTAATTTCTTTTATCTTCTCTTTCTCTCTCTCTTTCCCTCTCTCTTTCCCTATTTGTCCTTGTACTGTATGATCCTGTGACTTTCTTCCCTGTCTTGTAGCTCATCGTTTCCTTCCATTTTTCGTTTTCCTGTCCGAGTTCTTCACTCTTTTTGTATGACTACTACTACTACTACTACTACTACGAAATGAAATAACGTGGCCTACAGCCTCCCCCAATAGCCACACCTTCTCCGCCATTTTATTACCTTAATATTAAATATCCTAATACATAAGTAGCTACCCTAGCTGTGTTGAATTAGTTGAGCCGCAGATCTATGCAGCATTCAGCGACTGTTGCCTCATAGTCAATATCTGCGACCGTTGTCGACTTTGGGGCCGAACATCTCGTTCCCCTGAAGCAAAGCAATGCAGACTTAAGCAGAGAGGACAGGTTACAACGTGTCTTCTGGGCTGCTGCTTCTGCTCAGACAACAGATCCGCCAGTCTTGCGTAGAAGAGTGTTGCACTTGGTCCCATCTCGCCAGAGGCTGTGAACACCAGAGGAGTGAAGCTGCCCACATTGTGAATCATCTCGCCATACACCCTGATCTTGTCGTTCTCGTTCCTCTAGTGTGTTGGAAGTCCTGTGATGGAGGTTCTTCTCGCCCAAGGGAAGGAGTGGCGGTTCCATCGTGACTACTACTACTATTACTTCTACTACTACTACTACTACTTTTTTTTTTTTTTTTTAATAATAAACAAATGGGACGGAACACGATGGGCTTTACCAGGAATCGTCTGTAAACGAACACTGTGAGTGATGAAAAACATAAAGAAGTAACACAATAGACACAACCGGGCTTACCAGACACCACACAAGTATGATGACCATCAGGAATACTGCAGGGCGACACTGGAGAGAGTGAGAGACACACACACACACGCACACAGCTACACCAACGAACTGACACCCGAGGACCGCAACTCCCTACACTACCCGTCAAGGCGAATGTGGACAAAACGTTTATATCACTAAGATGTTCTAAAGGGTTCCAAATCGTCAATAAACAACTGCCACAAATAATAATTATAAACTATACTTTCTGAAGATTTCGTTTCCTAAAATGTCTGTCTGTCTGTGTGTTAATGTTGCTTTACTTAGGTAGCCATTGTAAATAAGGTTGGTTGGTCAATAAGATATAGCTAACAGTTAACCTCACAGGCACCGAACGTTCGCGTGCAAGTCTAAACGATCTGTGTCTAGTGTGACGCAATAAGTACGGCACTCATGGGATCACATCATGCTCACGGGATTAAGGCATCATAATCTAGAGATTGTCATCATACTCTAGGGATTAAGTCATCATATTTATGGGATCAAGTCATCATATTTATGGAATTAAGTCATCATACTTGAGGGGTAAGTGTTCGATCATACTAAAACAAGATATTTTAATCCCTTGAGTACGATAACTTAACCCCTTGAGTACCATAACTTAACCCCTTGAGTACGATAACTTAACCCCTTGAGTACCATAACTTAACCCCTTGAGTACGATAACTTAACCCCTTGAGTACCATAACTTAACCCCTTGAGTACGATAACTTAACCCCTTGAGTACCATAACTTATCTCAAGGCGTACTGTAAGCTGTACTCGTATGAACGGTGCTTTATCGTACTATTGTGGAGGGGGGGGGGGAGGTAGGATCTCTCTCTTTCTCTCACTCCCTTTTTTTTCTTCTTTGTTATCTCTCTGTATTTTACCTTTACTGTGACGTTCTCTCTTTATCCCCTTCTCTTGTCAGATCGTGAGAACACCGCTCAGTACACGCTATTATATACAGGCTAATGATTGCCGATAATCACTCCCAATGATTCTCTCTCTCCACCAGGATGTAAGTGAGTCAAATTTTTATATTTTGCTTTGAACTAGTTTATTTGTGTAGCCGGGGGTGTGTGTGCTAAGAGGGTTTGGTTCGTCTTCCCCAGTTTATCATGACTTGAGGCTGGCTCGTTCACTCCTCCTGCCGTACATGATGACCTCGAGGCAGAAGGCGAGGCTAGAGGAGACCCACCCAAAGATAATGACGAAGAAGATGCCCTGTAGATGGTCAAGACTTAGAGGGGTAGTGGCGTTAGTATTGTCAGGGGAGTTATTTTGCTTGTTACCACCGCCGTCACTGACACTACCACCACCGCCGTATTCCTAAGTTTAAAAGAAAATTTATATATCATTAAAACTATATTATACCACATTATTATTATCATATCTGAGGGTTGGCGACCACAGCCCTCTGCTTACTCATTAACCAAAAACTTGTATTTCTGTGGTGACTATAACTTTTAATATCATCATCATCATCATCATCATCATCATCATCATCATCATCATCATCATTATTACACCCAACACTCACCTCAGTAGAAGCCGCCAGCCTTATTGACTCCCGTAAGTAGTGATGAACTAAGCCATTCTGAGAGATCCACCCGATGATTTGGTTGAACTTGGGTGTGAGAGGGGAGTAGCGCTGCAGTGCTACGGCGTTGTAGAAGGTTGAGAAACATTCCTGAGATGGTGAGAAACATTCCTGAGATGGTGAGAAACATTCCTGAGATGGCTGAGAAACATTCCTGAGATGGTGAGAAACATTCCTGAGATGGTGAGAAACATTCCTGAGATGGTGAGAAACATTCCTGAGAAGGCTGAGAAACATTCCTGAGATGGTGAGAAACATTCCTGAGATGGTGAGAAACATTCCTGAGATGGTGAGAAACATTCCTGAGATGGTGAGAAACATTCCTGAGATGGTGAGAAACATTCCTGAGATGGTGAGAAACATTCCTGAGAAGGCTGAGAAACATTCCTGAGATGGTGAGAAACATTCCTGAGATGGTGAGAAACATTCCTGAGATGGTGAGAAACATTCCTGAGATGGTGAGAAACATTCCTGAGATGGTGAGAAACATTCCTGAGGTGGTGTTGAATGATTGTAAATGGTTTGGATTAAATTGTTTAAAAGATGTTACCTTTACTTGTTCAGTCAGACCTTAAATCCTGTTTGAGGAAAGTAGGGCGAGTATTGCCAAGTGACACGGGCGAGTGAATGTTTACCTGTGTTTCTGTGTTATATTGTTGGTCAGTGAGAGGGTTAAGGGGAGGGTGAGGGCCAAGGGAGGGGCAGCAAGGGGGAAGGGGAGCAGGGGGAAGGGGTCAGGGGGAAAGGGGAGGGTACCACACAGCTGAACGATAATGTGGTTGTGACAGTGATCCAGTTCCTTCATCACCCTGACCCCAACACACTGACCTTCATCACCCTGACCCTAACACACTGACCTTCATCACCCTGACCCTAACACACTGACCTTCATCACCCTGACCCCAACACACTGACCTTCATCACCCTGACCCTAACACACTGACCTTCATCACCCTGACCATAACACACTGACCTTCATCACTGACCATAACACACTGACCTTCATCACCACCAACACACTGACCTTCATCACCCTGACCCCAACACACTGACCTTCATCACCCTGACCCCAACACACTGACCTTCATCACCCTGACCCTAACACACTGACCTTCATCACCCTGGCCCCAACACACTGACCTTCATCACCCTGACCCTAGTGCCGGCCTTGGTGAACCTGGTGGTGGTTACAAACTGGATGTATCTCCCGTTACTGAGGTACACGGCCTCGCCAGCCACCACCCGTGCCAGTATGTCCTCCACGTCATCGTAGGAGACGAACATCTTCGTCAGGGCCTGCAGGGAGAGGAAATCAATTCAACTAAGGTCTAAACTGGGGAATTCTCCTCAGATGAGATCGAAACTGAGAGAAAACTGACTCAGCTAGAGTTTAAATTGAGGTGAAATTTACCTGAGGGAGAGAAGGCAGAAGGGTGAAGGGAGATTAACATTACTGGTGCTCACCCTGAGGTAGGGGTCACTAGAGATAGCCATCGCATTCTTAAAGAAGACTCCGATGGTGGCCAGCTCGAGGCCTGAATGGTAGAGGTCAATAATGGTGTCCATGGGAGGCGGTTGCTTCCTCACCAGCAGGAAGGCGGTGAGGTTGCTGCTGTACACGATGGTGAGGATGATGGTGTAGAGCCAGAGGGCGGTCACCACCACCTGGGTGCTGGTGCTGCGGGGTACTGACGCCTGCGCTTGCCGGAAGTGAAGGCCGAAGGCGTATTGCCAGGCTGGCGTGAGGTGCTGAAGGATGTTCACTTCGCCCCCGCTGAACACCACAACACAAGAGTTAGTGGTCACCATAACATCTGGCTCTCGTTATCTCACAGTTTTATAGCCAGTATTATCCTCTACTGTGTGTGTGTGTGTGTGTGTGTGTGTGTGTGTGTGTGTGTGTGTGTGTGTGTGTTTTGACTCTATGCCCTTCATCTGTCCCCAACACATATTTCCTTTACCCGTGATGGCAATTAGGTAACTGTATATGTTCAGCTTTCCGGCTGCCATGCTTTTTCAATAAACTGTTAATTATAATTGTTTTTTATGATTATTATTATTAATACTCACACACACACACACACACACACACACACACACACACACTTACCATCTATTACTAACGCTGGCAAAGACCCACAGTAGAGGACCGGACAGTAGCAGACTCAGGAAGGAAGCGAGCCAGGTCCAGGGGTTGAGAGGGAACACAAGCGCCTGCCAGCGAGGTAGTGGCGGTGCCTCTAACACTAGGAAACACTTCATCTGTTACCACAAAGAACTTCTTCAATGAACCACTCTCACACCTAACACCAGGTATACCAATATAACTTGTCCAATAGTAGTGGTATATTCCTCTAGCTTATAATAAATACCTAACCTAACCTAACATGACGTCACTTACCTCAGAGTCATAAGGTGAGGTCATGTCAACGATATTATTACGAGATATGACGAGATAAAGATCAGCCACACCAATGTCGACCTCATCTCTCTTGACCTTACCTATGAGGCCAGAGAAGTACCCATTGGTCTGTGCCTCTCCCCACATCTCTCCTGGAGGTCAGATGAAGAGGTTAATGTTTGTTAGTGTTTATTAGGTTAAGTTATGTTAAGGTTGATCAAAGTTAATATCTCTCCTCCTTCAGTGTTGATGGTCCTCCTCCCCCTCCTCCTATTACTATACATATACTCCACTATACAGTACCTGGGGGAGGCTCTACTATACAAGGCTCCACTATACAGTACCTGGGGGAGGCTCTACTATACAAGGTTCCACTATACAGTACCTGGGGGAGGCTCTACTATACAAGGCTCCACTATACATTACCTGGGGGAGGCTCTACTATACAAGGCTCCACTATACAGTACCTGGGGGAGGCTCTACTATACAAGGTTCCACTATACAGTACCTGGGGGAGGCTCTACTATACAAGGTTCCACTATACAGTACCTGGGGGAGGCTCTACTATACAAGGCTCCACTATACATTACCTGGGGGAGGCTCTACTATACAAGGTTCCACTATACAGTACCTGGGGGAGGCTCCACAAACTCTATGGAGAAGTTAAGTGACCTGGCCAACAGTCTAGTAATCTGAATGTCGATGCCGTAGCGGTAGAGAAGAGAGCCGTTCTTTGCCCGGTAATAGAACACGTTGGGCTCCCACACAAACGTGCACACCTGTCGGGGAATACACCTGTTTAGTACACCTAGCAGGGCAGTACACCTGTCGGGAGTACACATGTTTAGTACACATAGCATGGCAGCAGTACAGTTATTAATGGGCAGGTTTATGGACTCGTGTGTCTGGTGAAGAGGTGAGGGGTATTATATTATACTTGTCAACAGTGTTACCTTGAGCACAGCACCGCGCAGGTCTGACACTTTGTCTGGGAAAAGTTCCACCTGTGACGTGAAGCTGTTGCCTCGCCAGGTGGCTACACGCTGTACTCCAGGACCCCAGTACAGCTGGTTCATGTACACTCCCCACTCTCCCCGAGCACCAGACTGAGAGAGTACATGTACACCACTAGAGTACAGTTGGTTACGTTAAGGAAGAATAATTTCCTCAACTTAAAAGTAAACATTTTTTCTTAAAATCTTTGAAAAATAAATAAACAGGTTCATTATAACGTTGATAATTTATTGTTTTCCAGAGAATCTTCACTAAAACAGCAGGTGTCAGGACTCACCTTGATCACCCCCAGCAGGTGGCAGGACTCACCTTGATCACCCCTAGCAGGTGGCAGGACTCACCTTGATCACCCCCAGCAGGTGGCAGGACTCACCTTGATCACCCCCAGCAGGTGGCAGGACTCACCTTGATCACCCCCAGCAGGTGGCAGGACTCACCTTGATCACCCCCAGCAGGTGTCAGGACTCACCTTGATCACCCCCAGCAGGTGTTCGGTTTTTTTTCCCTTCCTGGAACGAGAGACGTTCACCAGCTGGTCTTGACTCAGCCCGACCAACACGTACCTGGAAAACACCCGCCAGTGTCACCCCCGCCTCATACATCTTACACTGTCCGTCTGGTGTGTGTGTGTGTGAACCTGAAACATGTACACACACACAGGTGAGTAACACAGTGGTCAGTCACTCATCAACACCCCACTATCTTACTCACCGCTGAATCACCTAAAACTTAAATAGTCTTTGAAAACTTAATTATTTTTTCTTAATTAGAGTCAAGTGTTGATAACTTAATTGAACGTTATTTGTATTGTATTAATGAAAGACAACAACAACCACTGCGGCTCCACCAACAACCTTCTTCAGGTAGACTCTTAATCCTCTATCTAGTGAGGTGAATAATGATGAAGCACATTGACTGAGTTTATCTTAAGAACATAAGAACATAAGAAAATAATGAGTCTGTAATAGGCCGGTTGGCCTGTGCATGGCAGCTCCTGTCGAGAGTTACTACCACTCTCTATCATCCATGAATCTATCCAGTCTCCTTTTGAAACTTTCCATCGTTCCAGCACTTACTACAAAGTTGCTAAGCTTGTTCCACTCGTCCACCACCCTATTTGTGAACCAGTTCCTTCCTATCTCCCTCTTAAACCTAAACTTATCCAACTAAAATCCGTTGCTCCGAGTCCTATCCTGCTCGGATATTATAAGAACTTTATCTATATCCCCTTTATTGATTCCTTTCACCCACTTAAATACTTCTATCATATCTCCCCGCACTCATCGTCTTTCTAGGGAATGCAAGTTTAGTTTCTTTAACCTATCCTGATACGGAAGGATTCTAATTCCCGGAATCATTTTCGTCATTCTTCGCTGCACCGACTCTAGTGAATTGATATTGGCAGAACTGACTAAGCGCAGCGAAGCATCAATCAATGTCTGTCTGTCTGTCTCTGTCTGTCCATTCTTAGTTAGTGCAGGTTTGTTTCATCAACACTACAGTATGTCTTCATCAACACGAGCCACCATTGTAGGCATTTTAAACTGACACTTTTTTGGTCCAAGATCTCTTGTGACGTCATCATTTACACCTAGTGTGCTGGACGTTTCGTCAGCAAGTTGTTTTTTCTGTTTAATTTTGTAAAACTGGTTGAGTGTTTCTTGACTTTGTTGTGTCACTCCTGCCGCAGTAGTGTCTCACCTGCAGCAGTAGTGTCTTACCTGCCGCAGTAGTGTCTCAGCTGCCGCAGTAGTGTCTCACCTGCCGCAGTAGTGTCTCACCTGCCGCAGTAGTGTCTCACCTGCAGCAGTAGTGTCTCACCTGCCGCGGTAGTCCCAGGTGTCAAGGTGGGTGTTTAGGAAGGTCATCAGATGGTCGGGACGCTGCAGAAGGAAGAGGTAGCTGCTACACCTTGGCGACACCCACACTACACCCAGCAGGTCCTCCACCGTCTTCACCCGCAACACCTGTCGTGTGGATAATGTTCTTTATGAGGTGATGGATGCTGTCTGTCCGTTTGTCTGTCTCTTATATCTGTCATAATGTTTTACACGGCTGACGATGTTGTACGTGCAACAGTCACTCACCTGACGCGTGTGAGGCAGCAGCAGCAGCAGGTGGACCAGCAGAGGCAGGTGACTGTCGAGGTCGTCGTAGGCCAGCAGTAGGTCACAGCCCCTCATCTCCTCCTCCACCACCCTCACCAATAACCTCCCCAGAGACCCGCCATCATTGGACAAGTCTTCATCATCTCTTACTGGCCACAAACTTACCATCTTCCTCTGTGTTTTATTCCTTATCAGTGAATTTCCTTCCTCCTTCACCGCTAAACTTGTGGTGTAATTGTCCTCGTGGCCAGCCGCTGCTCTCCGCCGACGGTCTCCAGCAATAACCGAGTCTAGTTTACATATCTTTCTGGAGTGCTGGTAACTCACGTCACTCAAAAACACTCCAGTGTTGTTGTCACTCAGAGACACTCCTGTGGTTGTGATCAGTGCCAACACCAACAGTAGTAGCGGACAGTGAGGCCTCATCTCCACAAGTCACCTGGCCAGGAAGAGAACTACTTGTGAACATGAATCCTAAACATAATGAGTTTGATCACCTGAGAGGGACCAGCTGTCTTGATTACCTGATACGCCAGTGTAAGTAGAAACCAATTAAATACCCCTGGTACCTGTGATGCCAGATACCTACAGTAGGACGAGTGTTTTATTACCCTGATTTATGTTTCTTCTGTAATGATCAAAATAAAGTTGTGAAAGATTTGTATTATTTTTGTTTAATTTCTCCTATTTCTTTCATCTGTCATATACCATCATGTCTCACTTCATTCATCTGTCATACACATCCTTCTTTCACTTTAATTACCTGTCACACCTATCAATTCATTCACCTGTCATATCTCTTACTTCGTTCACCTGTTATATTTATAGGTGAGATTAGATTACGTTACGTTACGTTGTTTTAGCTTAGGTTAGGTTAAGTTAGTTTAGGTTAAGTAAGGTTAGGTTAGGTTAGATTAAGTTTGATCCTTGATTAAAACTTAATTTACACAAACCTCACCAATCATCTTAAACATTCCTGAACAGAAGATAAAAATAAACAACATTATTAAGCCAATCAGAGCATGTTAATCACAGGTAAGCGAACGTATCAGGTGTGCAGTTAATTAACTCAATGGTGAGGCAGTGACGACTGAGGTAAGTGATAACATGTTAACTAAACTTAACTAACCTTGAGAGAGAGAAACAGAGAGTCAGCCGTCAGCACCAGGAGTGTGAAGCGGAGAGTTGTAGTGTACTGAGAGAAGGCCTGCGATGAAGTGACACCTCTTCATCACCACACTCCTCCTTCTCCTCCTCCTCTAGCACCTCGTAATGTCGATACCAGTGTGAGCATCTTTATTATGTAAACTGTAATTAACAATTTAGTCATGTCTGTATTAGGAATATTGTTTTTTCTCTATTTCAGGGTTACGAAGGGATGATTTACCGTGCACAAGTGAATAGTCAATAGAGGAAAGTTTAGTCACATATGCATGGGTTATGATGATGATGATGATGATGATAATAATAATAATCATAATAAAAACTTCTACCGTGTTGATGTTCTTCTCATTGAAGTTATAAATAAATAATAAGTTAAGCATTGTAAGCAAATAACAGTTTGTAAGTAAAGTTAGAAATTAATGGATCACTTTTATAAGTTTTACGCCACGTAGGTTGACCTTTCCTGCAAATAAAAGGTTCGTGAAAAAGTTCACTCCTTGAACTTTTTTGGCCCTGCATTTTGTTGTGTGACCTGCATAAGTCATCAAGCCTTATCTAGTCTTAACTGGTAACACCTTTTGCTGGAGGTAACCTTACGTAGCTAAAACAGGTACAGTACATGTATTTGAGAGATTTTTACTTTAACAACTTTACTGGCAAAGCTCAGAGTACAATTTGCCCATTCTGAAATGTTCAATCAGGTCTTGATACTGAAGGTGCTATCACTGTTCACTACCACGCAGGACAGTGGTTCATATACACGCTTAGATCATATACATAGAGCAGACTAGCAAATTTAGGATAGACTGCAAGAATATATGTGTGTGTTTGTGTGTGGCTGTATGCACGTGTACTTTATAAAACACACACACACACAGACCGGACACATAAGTGGGTTTGCACTCCAGGATATGACTAACTTGTCCACGTGTTTCCTCCAATAGTTTAGTTAGATATGATCATTCACAAAAGACACCAACCAAAGGAGATTATTTCGTCACTCTTATAATTTACACGTATTAATGAGTTATACATCCTTTAATGTATAGTTCACTGTACACATACGAGCTATCGAATATATACGCTGTAGATACGACATTTTTTTTACATTTTCACTGAAGGTACAACATTTTTCACAAATTTAGAGAAGGTTAGCTTTTCACCAATATGTTTATTTTCCTTATTTATTTCTAAGTCATGCGTCAAGGTCATCTTTGTCATAACAGGAAAGGTTGGTATGTACAGTAGTGACTAGGGTAACTACAAGGAACACACACTTTGATTCAGCCTCAAGATACAACAAAATAACGTTACAAGAGGGACTACAAGAGGACTACAAGAGGGGCTACCATCTTTTCAAGGGTAACTTTGCCCAAGAGAAGGTATCTAATTAAGGAAGAGTTGGAATATACTTTCTACGGTTTTATGAAAGAGGGTAAAGGAGGGTAGTTTAGATACGGTCTTGTAATTACAGGTAAGGGAACTATCTGTGTGTAAGTAACATCAAATAAGAGATCTGGAGCTATGCAGTAACACACACACACACACACACACACACACACACACACACACACACACACGAGGACTTAGAGTTATCAATCGTTTGTTTGTTCCCTTGTGTGGACGGACGTTCACTGCTCACATCCCGTCATCTCCCCAGCAAGGAAAACACTCGTAATGTTGGCGGTCCATGTTTGTTCTGTCCCCAGTAGCTTTATCGTGTAGAATAATGTCAGAATATTATAAGTGATGGATTTATTGTCATCCATAGACACCAGTAAGTCTTAACACACTACCCATTGTCCACCCCAGATAGATAGATAGATAGATAGATAGAGAGGGAGAGCAGTACCCACCCATTGCTAAGAGAGTGTCCGTTGTGTGTCTTGAGCGTGTCGCCTCGTACTGGCTGATCCAAGCGATGGTAGAGGCAGACCATCACCGTAGGCAGGTAGTCAACATCCCCCGCCCCTTCTCAGGTACCACCACCTTAACGCCACAACAACACAACTCAACAAGTATCATGAACAATATAAATTAATTAAAGTTATGTGATGATTATTTCTTATGTGTTTATGATTTATATACACACACACACACACACACTTACTACTACTACTACACACACACACACACACACACACTTACTACTACTACTACACACACACACACACACACACACTTACTACTACTACTACACACACACGCACACACACACACACACACACTCTTACTACTACTACTACTACTACACACCTACTGCTACTACTATCACACACAATTGTTTATTTTAAGATGAAATAAGGTGGGGGGTGAGTGATAGAGAAGTTTCAAACACGATACATAATCACCATATAAAAGACCCATTGAGAATCGTAGGATCCACCACTAGGCTACTTTGTTTAACACCACACATGGAAAAAGCTCTGATAACTCTAATCCCGTATCCTTTTCCTGTGTGAGGTCGCTTTAGTTTGACTTACATTCAGTCATCACTAAGAAACTCAAGATGGTGTTGAATTTAGTGTAAGTTTTGGGAATACTTTCACTTTCAACTGATGACAACACGTCGTAACTGTACCTGTGGGGATAGGTTAGGAGATGAGGTTAAGCTTAGATTAGTATTGAGGTGAAATAAACTAGGGTGTAAGGGTGTTTAATCTTCAAGTGATTCCGGGTTTGATTATGATGTTTTCGTCGTGTCCCATCTTACGGGGTTTCCTGCGTTCATAATAGGTTTGGTTCCGAATCCCTGAAAACCTTACGGAAATAATACATACATACATACATTATATACATACGTACATACACATTCAGTAAATTGTCATACAAGTTGATATTGCTATAGCATTTGCAGTATATACATAAAGTGTAGGTAAACAAACAATTTTCTTACACGGTGTAGGTATACAGACAATAGTAAACACGAGTCGATATACCCAAGGATACGCCACAAAAAACCATCATAAGCTTAGCTCCATTAGAATCCTGTAATATAGATAAATAAAAGAAAATAAAGTTAAAGTAGCATCCGGGTTATGATTTATCAGAGGGCTCAGTGGCGTCAGGATTTGACCTCACCCACCTTTCGGTATTTCTTAAAGACGTCACGTGACTTCTATTGTGCATAATGTTTCCTATTATCGAGCGGATGAAGGGGGGGGGAGTGGTGTCTGCAGGGACTCTTGTGAGGATGCGGGGCGAAGGAAAGTCGTCATACAGCTTGTAAACTGTAAGTATTGCCGGAGATATTTCTTTTAATTTTATTTAATTTCTACGCAAAATTATAAGAAAATAATGTTAGCCAGGCAAGACACTCACTGTGTCACGATTAGTTAGTTATGAAGTGAAATTAGAGTTTTTTTTTTTCTTATTTCCAGTGGAGTTACCAACTATTTTTTTTCAGCATTGGTTACTGTCGTATTGTAGTTACTAAATACCACAATATAATTAATATGGGTCATATTTTGATACGGGTATTTATATTCTTCTATAGGTTAAGACAGTACCTTCATTATACTAATCACTGCACCAAAGTCTCTTTACATGTACAATAATCCAATATATACACTTACTTAGCTATAAAAATATATATATGAAACTTGGCGAGATGTCAACACCACACTGTTGTGGTTGTGTAGCAGGGGTCTGGCAAGCAGACCTCCTAGTAAAATAATTTAGATTTCCGACACAGCTGGCCTTCCCTCGTCATTAATTATTAATCTCAACACAACAGGTACAGTTATACTTAAACATCATCTTATAACATTGTCTCAAGATATGCCTCTCCCTCAGTAGTTCCTGTGAGACTAAACTTTATGCTTCATCATGTTGCTGTGACCCTGAGCTTGCGTCCTTCCGTTTATATTGTCGCTTTTATACTGTCACCAGACATATTTTAACCGTATGAATAATATCGTAGCGAGTTCAGAGGGATAACAGAATATCGACAATGGGTGATAAATTCTACTTTTTAAGGCAATGCTCTTAACTGAGAACTTCACCTGTAATCATGCTGTATGTTTGTGTTACGGTACCGTATGTTGTTACTACGCGAGTAACTAGTTTAGTAATTGTTACGCTAATCCAACAACAGTTAAGAATTATGAGATATACTACTTTTAATACGCGTAATTAACGTGTACACTGAGGTTAACGATAATATGCGTAAATCAATTTATGAGTCCATTCATCTCGGTAACAGAGCTAACCCGAACTCTCTCGAAGCAAACATGGAAATTGATAATGATTTACTGCTTTGTCGATCGATCGATAGATAGATAGATAGATAGATAGATGGATATTCAGCTGTGTACCCTTGTAGTGTAGACTAGAGTGGACATGAACAGTGCGGACTGTAGCACAGGGTGAAGGAAGATGACTCATTGGGGGTTAATAATAAACTTCGCTGTTGCCAGTGCTTTTATGGATTCTTATTATTATGGTCATCAAACTAAATGATTAGATATTCTGCCTGTAAAGAACAGCAGAAATACCTTGTAAAGAATATAAAAAGACTCAAGAAAACCTCATGTGACTTGTATTGTTGATAACGAAATTAAGGTATCGCTAAATAATCCAATTGAAATATAAACTTGCTGCTACATTGTTTGATCTATTTATATCTCAACTGCCCTAAAGGCTACTGAGCTGATAAGTAGTGGAAATGATACACTGAAGAAAAATAGATTAAACTAATATTACTGGTGTGACATCACATATTGTTTACCATAGTGTAGTGACTACAGGTGAGGGCTGGCCGCTGGCGGGTGAGGCAGCCTCAGCACCAAGTACCGCTCAAAATACTTCATGGTGCACAGGCGTACAATGAAAAATCTAGAGAATGTAATGGTAAATATATATATAGAGAGAGAGAGCTTTGTTGATATAAGAAGGGTTTAATTTTAGTTTTACGAACTGCTGTGCTGCGTACTGTAGCGGTAGTGCCAAGCTTGAGTGTTGGTATATGGACAGTTATTTGAGTAATTATCAAGATGATCAGTGTCTCTTTATACCTCAGAATGTCACCTTATAGTTGTGTAATAGTGATAGTTAAAGGTTCGTGTTTAAAGTCTAGGAAGGGCGAGATGTAGTTTTGTTGACATTTTCACTGTGTCTGCATCACATCAGCAAGTGGTGGATGAAGCTCCTTCATTGAAGGCACTACAGCCAGTGATGCCAGTTGAAGGCACTACAGCCAGTGATGCCAGTTGAAGGCACTACAGCCAGTGATGCCAGTTGAAGGCACTACAGCCAGTGATGCCAGTTGAAGGCACTACAGCCATTGATGCCAGTTGTAGGTGATGAAGGCACTACAGCCAGTGATGCCAGTTGAAGGCACTACAGCCAGTGATGCCAGTTGAAGGCACTACAGCCAGTGATGCCAGTTGTAGGTGATGAAGGCACTACAGCCAGTGAAAATCATCATCGATTGTGCTTTTATATCAACAGGGTCAAATAGGTGAGTTTTATGAGAGCCAGAGTCTGTAAACAGTATTAACAATTGTGGAATGGTTCGTTCTTGTTAAAATTAAACAATATCATTGATGGCTTGTGTCCATTCACTTTCTGGGTGAAGGCACTGCAGTGAGTGGCATCGTGACACCACTTACTGTAGTGCCTGAGACACATACACACCTTTTGTCGTGCCTTTTGTCTTGCATGAATCGTGACAACTGCAACAAATTTTCCTCTTTTAGGTAAGTAAAATTCTGAAGTGTGCATAAGTTGATTCAGTCAAGGATTGACTTCCTAGAACCTTAATTCAAGTGAGGAACTTTAAATACATATATGACTCAATTTTGTAGTCCTAAAAACATACTGTACTTAATTCACTGATGGTTTTTGTAAGTTGCCAAAACACTGAAGGGGCAGAGGCCACAGCTAGCTAACTATATCTTATGTGATTTCAAAGTCTTTATTCCTTCACCAGATGTGAATTGCTTGTGTTAAGATAATCATATTAGTTAAAATCCAAAGAAATTAAACCATTGTTAAGTTCATAGTCATTACTATTAATTAGACAGAATACCTCCTGAAATTATCCCAATGCTTCCCAGCAAAACAAAACTACCATGAGATGTTATTGTCTCGCACAAGGGTTTAATGATTGTAGTTTCAGGTACTGTAATATTTTCCCCATTCCAGCAGGATGGAAGAGCAGACTGAAGGTGACAACAATGAAATGGTGATGAGGGTGACATTTATCACCAAAGGATTCAGGTTGAAGGAGGATGGCCTGGTGGATCTACAAGACTACGTGAACAGCTATATTGAAATGAACAAGTAAATACTGTACACTCTTTTATATAATTAATAAGCTGTAACTTATTTTTTTTATGAGAATTTCACAACTTATCACTCATGCTCATCACTGCTACTCCTTTAGTAATACTGTAAGGGGACTTAATATTAATGGTTTCACTGAAGAGTTTTAAATTTGTACTGTATATGAAATGGTATCACTTGTTCGAACATTTTGGAAGCATTCAGAAAGCTGCTATGTGATGATTTCAATATGACCTTTAACCTGATCTCTGTCTTATCCCGTAGAGTCTCTGGCAGTTGTCAGGTTGGACACAGTTTACACCTGAAAAGACTATTTTACAGAATTGTATTAAACTTTAAAAATAAAAAGATGGCAGTGAGTAGTCCGGCTTAGTGGAACAACTCACTTTGCTGTCAGGAACCAATCCATTGCTACTAATTGTAAAGATTGTTTCAGATGTTAAAATTGGCTAAGGCTTAGTTGATGGTCAATTATTTTCCTTAACCCTTCACTCGCTGCAGGGACACCACTTTTGATAATTTATTTGGGTAACAACTTGTGATTTTATTCAGTACAGACGGAACCCAGTACACTAGACTCCCATTTTTCTTTGGTTTTGTGATTCAAGGTTTCTACCCCCCTCATATAAGCCTGATGGGGTGATGCAAACAGCAGGGCAATTTAGGTATCCAGAATGAAGTATTAGATTAGACCTGGCTACCATTATAGGGTATTGAGTCCACATATTCAAACAAGGCAGTAAAATAGTAAATGGATTAACCCATTTACCCATTTCAAAGATAATTAAATCCTAATACACCTTTCCTTTCCTTCCTGACAGATTCTTCAAGGTCTTAGGACCTTTTTTCCAATTCATTGCTCGAGACGTTGGTGTGAAGGTAATGTTATACTGTACGTATGTGTTTCCCGAACCAAACTTGTTGTCAGAGAAGATTTTAGGGCCAACAGATCCATGAAATTTGTGTCTTGAGGTTGAAAGACGTTGTTTTACTGAACTGTGGCTAACAAATAACATGAGATTTTGGTGTTTAAATGCTGATTTTTTTAAATTTGTATATACTTCATATACTGTATGCTGAAAGTTGGGTTTTTTTTTACTTTGTTTAAGGGCCAGTGAAAATGATAAAGACTAGTAGATTTTAAATTCTACTTGATAATACATGTACTGTACAGTCATGGTGAAGAAGCATTTTTTATTTAGCAGTCATATTTACTAGCTGTATTTATTATTGGCAGTTAGCAATCCTTCAAAAATATCTTGACGGAAGTAACAGACATCACTACTCTACCGTCCAGTCCATGATAAAGTACGAGAAAGAGAAGAACCTCCTTACCAGTAGCGACAGATCATCTGGGGCAAGAACCTTGTTGAGGGTACATCGAGCGCTTGGTGAGTAATGTCTTATACAGCACAGCATCATGCTCAATACTGTGTCGTGACTCTTCAAGAACCATTATGAAACAAGAACATTATTAAGAAACACTCGAGATACTATTGTTGGTACATTATATTTATTATCTTCATCATTGTTTTGCTTTTATCTTGTGTATATTTTACTTTATTTAATATTTGTTGTACTGTACTCTCAGGTTTGGTTATCCTCCTAACGGATATTTTATAGAAGTAAACTTTTTATCCCGAATTTTGTTGCAGACTTTGTCAAAGATTTTATTGTAGAAATACTAAATAGTTCGGACAGTGAAACCTTTGGGAAGAAAGTTTCTAGCGTCTACACAAAAACTCTAGCCAAGTTCCATGGACCAATATTAGCAAATACACTTCCAAAAATTCTCCTCTTGATGCCCAGTCATCAAGTCATCTTGGACAGGGTAAGTAACATACAGTAATACAGTACGTACATAAAAAAACTTTATTTTGTATATGTTAGATTATTATTTTGTTTAGTTTTTGGATGTTATTTTATTATTTGTTTATACAATATGTAGACAACATAAATTTTAGTATTTTTTTCAATTTGTTGTTTAGGGAAAAATCAGACTACAGTAGATGGTTATAAGAAACTTTAACCCCTTCACTACAGGGATACCACTTAAAATTTTATTTGGCCAATACCAGATGATCTTATTCCGCTCAGAGGCAACCCTGTACACAAGAGGATAATAAGTGTTATACTATAGAATGATAATGTCAATGTGTTTCTCACAAGAATTTACCAGTTAACTTAGTCAATATTACTTAATTGTTTGTGTACAGTATGTCAAGAAGATGGAAATTGACCCCCAGTGAAAGTAGGTCTACAAGTAGGATATTTAATGTTATTGTGGCTGCTCAGTGAGAGAGGAGTGTGGTCAGTAGGAATACAAGATGCAAAAGGGGAGGTGAGTGTGTTGCTCCCTGTATATTATGGTGCTTTAGTGGGCAGTTGAGATGAATAGTTACAAATATTAGTGATGTGTTCAAAGTGTGTGTACTCTACTAGGAGAGATTTAATATTCCATGTGAACAAATGTGAAGAAAATAAAAAGGAAAGTGGAACAGGAAGAGATAAAAATTATCTTCAATAGAGATAAATAACGGAGTGAGAGGCTTCAGATATGTAGCAGTACAGTACATGGAATAATTGATGTGTTTATGACTTTCTTCTACCGTTTCTATTTTTTTTTCAGCTGTCAAGAGGAAATACCGCTACAGAAACACAACTTCGTGCAGAACTGCTGGAGCTAGTCACGGCAGTAAATGTTGTATATAACAAGACCCAGCAGATATACGAAGAAAATGAGATTTTTGATTTACCCTGAGTCTTGATGAGGGAGAAACTCGTTAGTTTACCTATCAAGTTGTTTTTGTCATGTATAGTAATGTCCTTAGATAACGGGTGCAGTTCTCAGTGCTATATCTTATGTTTTTGTTAGGTTTTGTGATTGTCGTGTACATTATAATTGTTCCTTTTATATTATGTACTGTATTAGGAATAAGTTTAAGGTGTAGTATAGCACACTTCTGGGCCCCCCTTTCTTATGGTTCAATTAAGTTTTAAGTAATTATGTTCAAACTAGTCCAAGTAACACTACTGCCACCACAGGCTTTGAACCCACATTCACTAGATTGGAAAATGAGTTTGCTATCACCCGGCTAAAAAAATCCTGTTGAATCTGACCTCCACTGCTGTCAAAAAAGAGGACTTGGGTTGTGGCTGGAAATGTACCCCTCCCCACTCTTATTATGGAAAACTGTCCATTAAACTAAATTTGTTTATACCAGCCTTTATCTAATGACACAACTCCAGGCATAAATGAAGGCAATGTAACCCTTTGAGGAGGATGGTTTAACCCTTTGAGGACATTGGATTAATCTTTTTGATGATGATTTAACCCTTTCCAGATGATGGTTTATCCCTTTGATGACAATAGTTTAAACATTAGAGGACAATGATTGAACCCTCCTGGACTCATGGGGTTAAAACAAAGATAAAACACTGACAAATGAATGGGGTTTTAGTGTTATGATTTATGTGGCATTCCATAATTTCTCCAGCTGTAGTTAAAAATTAAATACTCTTTCCTTTGTGATGTCAGGTCATTTGATTAATCTTACCTCTTGTAGTTTGCAATGGAGTTCAGGTTAAGTTCCTGAGCTAACAGTGAAAGGTCAGGTTCAAATGACTTTTAAGCCATTTGTGATGGACTGTAGGAACTAGCAGCCTCACTTGCCATCTGAGTATTGTGTGTGTGTGTGTAAATCCTGCACAAGAGATATATTGTACCCCCTGCACAAGAGATATATTGTACCCCCTACATGAGAGATATATTGTACCCCCTTCCATGAGACACATTGTACCCCTGTACATGGAAAGTAATATGCAGTTATTTTATTCATAGTACAGAATATGGAGGAGGTAGAATGCCCCATTATCCACCCCACATGCTGGTAGATGCATGTGACATCAAATAGGAAATAATATACAGGGATGAATTAATATATTTTTCTATTAATTATAGTGAGAGAATGAAAGGCCGAGTACCTCTAACCCCTTCACTCCGGGGATGCCTCATTTAACGAATTGTTTAACAGTAGATGATTTTATTCAGCACAGATGGGAGCCCGTACACAAGTGGTTATGTTTGTAGAGATTGTTGTGACAGTTTGAGAATAAAGTAGGATGCAGTTTGTTAAATTGTATTACAGCAAGTGATATATATCATTCACCATGTCCAAGTTTCAAGTCCAGGCAGTCCAAGTCTTTAAAATTTACCTTGTTGAAATCTAGTCAGAAATCTTATTCCAAGTCCAAATAAAGTCCAGTTTTTATTGATGTTTCAAGACATGGTACTTAAACATTGTGTCATTGTAGAGCTGTAACAAATTATGTATTCTGAGAAGCTGGTGCAGGTCTGTTCAAGCATCACATCTGATTATTGTTATAGGTAATATACAGCCACTCATAAGACTATCTTTACAAAATTGTGTTGAGAAAATAAGACAATGGATGAATGATTTTGACAACCCTACTGAGACAACAAGAGTCAGTGTTCATTCTGGAATTCATTGACCCCTTCTCCCCAAAGTAAAAATAGTTTTTGAGTTACTGTACATAATGCATTTGATTATTTTTGAATCTGTGATCGATTGGGATATATGCTTGAACCTTAAGTAGCCTAACTAGTTTGGGGGGCTCCAGTTAATGCAATAGTGTGTCTCAGAGGTGCTAAATAATTTTGTGTAATGGATGGGAAAACAGTTGTTGGTTTGAGTGATATTTGGGGAAAACAGTTATTGATTATGGAGGCATTTAGGGAAAACAGCGGTTGATTATAGATATATTTAAGGAAAACAACTGTTGGTAATGGAGACATTTATTCTCAAAAGACATTATCTTACTGTAATAATGATCAAGAGGAGTAATGAGCCTTTTTAGCTGTTTAGAATTACATTACTGCATTATTGTATTTGAGAAACTTTAGCCTCTTTGTGCTCCTAAACAGGTCCCATGTGAGCATGTCAATATACAGTACAGGTTGCGCTTAAAAAATCCAAAGTGTTTGGGACCAAAATCATTTCGGATAACTAAAAATTTTTGGTAACTGGAAGATCATTATAAAAGCCTTAATATTTCACTAAGCACAATATACTTGTAAAATTCTGTATGATAATTCTAAACTAATATATAATATGTTTAACTGATATTAAACTAAGATAATAAATAGGGGTGATGGATAACTGATATTGTACAGTAGTTTGGATTTTTTAAGTTGCAGCCTATGTGCTGTCTCTGCTGAATATTAACTGATGCACTTGTGGTCTTATTGTGAAGACACTTATGGATGGTGTGTATAATGTTGTCCTTAAGCCATCACCAGTGATTTAAGGAATCATGAGATCCAATGTTTTATAATACAGTATATCTATTTTTTTTACATTACATAGCAATTCTCAAATAAAATTTCACTCACGTTTGGACAAAATCTTGTATGAAGTTTACTGCATTATTCTTTGTCAAATAAAAGATTATCTGTAAGCTTTAGCAGGAGTAATAAATATGTAGGAAATGTTTATTTTTACAACCACTAAACATGTAATTTATTTTATTATATATGTAACTTTGTACACCATTGATACAGTGGACAAATACTGTATGTAATTTTGTTTATTAAGGATTTAAAGTGGACCTAGCTCGAGTCGTCAGGTCCATTATGCTTTAGGCCAAACTAAAGTAATACCAAGTCTATCATGCTCAAGTCAAAGTCAGAGTCCAGGTGAAAATTGGACACAGATCTGGACTCGCGGACAACAACACCGATAGAAGGCGTTTTATTTTTATAATGTTGTAGCGATGGTTTCATTTGTGTGTCCATGTAGCCTTAATATGTATTGTGTATTTCTGTGGAGCCATAGACCTGTATTTTAAGTTTCTCTGTAACCTTAGATCTGTATTGTAAATTTTTCTGCAACTTTGGATCTGTATTGCAAGTTTTTTTCTGTAGCCTTACTGTAGATCTGTATGTTACCCTTCAATTTACAGTTAAAACTTGTACAACGCTTTCTAGCATTTAACCCCTTTGCTCTGTGATGCTACTCTTAATGTTTTATTTGGTTAATGCCACATGATTTTCCTCAGCACAAACAGACCCCGGTACAATACACAAGGGTTAAAGGCCTACCTCCAGTCCATTCATTTCTCTCTATTATTATTATTGATGATTTCCATAAAATTATAAAAAAGGTGAATAAAATATGTTGAAGTACAATTTTAGGATAAAACTTTTCCTCTCGGACTTGTTGTTATCCAAAGGTCAACGTGCACACTTGTTGAAATCCACAATGATTAGAATAATGGGTAGAGTTGCTTTTTATATTGACTATGGTGGTTTTTTATGATGTGAATTTATATGCGAATAAAACTAAAACATGTACAGGGTAATTAATGTTAGGATATAAAATATACAGTGACAGTTGTAACAAGTTGTTTTATTATTCTTATTCCTACAGTAATTTTTATATACAGGTACTGTACTGTAATCAGGACTAGATCATGGGGTGGTACTGTACTGTATAGTAATTCTGAATGACTTTATCAAATGTAAGATTAGGTTGGATTGGGTTAAGTTATATTAGGTTATGCCAGATAAGATTCATGGAAACGACACGGAAAAAACTTTATGCAATATACAGTATTTTTTTTTAAATTTTACAGTTTCCATAAAGTTGAGTTTTGGCCAAGGAAGACCTGTGAACGATGAGTGTGAACAAGGATATATATTTGGCCATGACAAATAATGTGGAAAAGTCTTAAAAATATTGTTTCAACCTCCAGTGTTATATAAATTGTATTAAAGTGTTTAATTAATAATAAAAACTTGCATATCATTTATAGCTACAAGTAATTAATAACTATACAGTGTAGTTATAGGTTTGCAAAATTAGGAAAGTAGAAACTCCACACAAGCAGGGAGGTGTACAGGTAGTAAATAGACATTTATTCAACAATACTGTACGGGAATTTTCAGCATAAATATTTAAATACCTAGTCCCTGAGCCACCATATATGTAAACATTAGTTGCAACGGTGCCAACTTAGTGAATAATCGCTAAATCTAGCGGATTTCGATTCTTGTTGCGACTTTTTATCGTCTTTCGCGACTATCAGATATATCAGAGAATTTTGTTATCATTTAGTAGATTATTTAGCGGATTTATATAAAACCTGTTAGTATGGTGAGGTTTGGCTGTTCTGTTCATATGGACAGGTACAAAACGCTATAAAACTGCTGGTTTGAATCACGAATAATACGTAATGGTTTTTATAGGGCCGCTTGGGTGGTCGACTTGCAGTTAGTACTTGCCTAGTAACATAGTAGTTAGTTGCCAATAGTGCGTAACAGAGAACCAGTACATGCCCACAGTGTGAACAGTCCTTAACAAAGACGTGACTGACCTCCAAAGCAGGTAACTGACCGATCAATTGCGAAGAGGATAAAAGAAATGGTTAATTTGTAGTTTCGACTAACCACGGCATTCGAGTTATCACTGATTTTCCGATGGTTTAGACAATTTTAATGCACTTGTTTCTATGGCGTTGCCCTCGAAAATTATTTAAATATACCAAGGAATCCAGAGGGGCAGAGCCAACCGGTTAGGAGGTTAGATTTGCTAATGAGGTAATTGCGAGGGGGACGTCATTGATAAGTAACTTAAAATTGGCTAAACCATCGGAAAAAACACATTGATCAACTCGAGAGCCGTGGTTGGTCTAAACTATAAATTAACAAATAAAGTACACAGGAGTAAAATAATTGCTATTTAATACAACCATAATAAATAAAGTACAAAAGTTATCCATACAAAAAGTTTTATTTTCTTTTATTATTTTAGTGCAACAAAGAAAATGGGAGTAAAGAAAACAGTTCATGAATGAGTTTAAATCTGGGACTTAAATAACTTTGAATGAGATTAAAAGCCAGAATTAAATAACTTTGAATGAGTTTAAACGTGTAACCGTAGTATTAAAGAGTATCACTTTAATTAAATAGCTAATCATAACAATAACAATAGTAATAATACAGGGCCGCGCGGGGAACATTAGAGAAGAAAAGTGTCTTAATTTGTCTGAACGATTGATTAAGATAAAATTCTTTGATATTCTGTTGGCGCCAATAATAATAATAATAATAATAGTAATATTGATAACAGTAATAATAATAAAATAATAATAATAATAATAATAATAATAGTAATATTGATAACAGTAATAATAATAAAATAATAATAATAATAATAATAATAATAATATTGATAACAGTAATAATAATAAAATAATAATAATAATAATAATAATAATAATAATGTGGGGTATGAGATGTTTGGTTCACACTCAGGATGGGATGGAGAAAGGAAACTCACAATGTGCTCTCTATATACATGTTGTATTGGATGTACAATGCAGCTTGGTGCTGGGAAGGCAGCATGGTTACAAGCGTGATGTAGGGAGAGCTGGTTGGTGTGGGTCGCCATGCTCGCCAGCGGGAGAGAGGACCGCCAGGCAGGCGGAGGAACGAGGGCCGCCAGGCAGGCGGAGGTGTTGCTGGCTGGTTGGTGTAGGTAGAAAGAGAGACAGATCACCACGAGGTCAAGTCTTAAATAGCGGGGGTAGGCGTGGCTTAGCAGTTGACCTCCGCTCCGTGGTGTATGGCGGCGCTGGTTGACCTAGACCACGAGGCATACACTGGGGAATTTGTGGGGTCGGCTAGGCAGCGACAAACAGCGTTTGTAGGGGAGAATTCCACTACAATAATAATAATAATAATAATAATAATAATAATAATAATAATAATAATAATATAGGTCAATTACAAGGGAAAAGATATAAAAGTCTCCCAGAATATTCTGAAATGTTGATTGCAGAGATAAAAGTCTCAAGATTCGGTTGGCACTAATAATAGTAATGATAATAATAACTATGTATAGAATAGTTACCATGAAGTTAATAGTTATGTTAAATAAATTAACCTTAGCTATAGAAATTTTAATAAAAAGGTTCACAGAAGGGAACTTAAGTATATTTTTGGAAAATTAATTTTTCTTTACATATTATAAGCAAAAAAAATATAAAAATAAATGGATTTCAGATTACTAGGCGCCCTATTATATTGGTTTGGTTAGGTTACATTAGGATATGTTAGGTTGTAGTGGATTCCCCCTACAAACGCTGTTTGTCGCTGAGTAGCCGACCCCGCGAACTCCCCAGTGTATGCCTCGTGGTCTGGGTCAACCAGGGCCGCCTTACATGACGGAGGTCAACTATTAAGCCACGCCTACCCCCGCTATATAAGACCTGACCTCGTGGTGACCTGGTTGAGCCCAGATTCTTTCTACTTCTGCTGTATTTCAGTTTCACCACTTTTCCCTCAACCCCTAATAATCTTCTTTCACCTCTTAACTAAAGACTTCGTACTCGTACTCGACCTACCTCTCTTTCTACATACACCAACCAGCAAACAACACCATCTCCTCCGCTCCTGCCTGGCGCCCCTCGCTCCCGCCGGCGAGCATGGCGACCCACAAGTTGGTCCTCCTCTGAGCACCCTCACCAACCAGCTCTCTCTACATCACGCTTGGACTCACGCTGCTACCCCCAGCACCAAGCTGCATTGTACATCAATACAATATGCTTACAGAGAGCACATTGTGAGTTTCCTTTCTCCATCCCATCCTGAGTGTGAACCCAACATCTCGTACCCCAAAAGGTTAGGTAGGTTCAGGTACATCAGGAGCCGGTGCCTGCCCAGTACTGGCCAACAGAGACGTGACCGATCGCCTAAGCGGCTAACGAGCCGATTAGCGAAGAGGATAAAATTAAAAAGATAAGGTTTGTATATTTAAAGTTAGATTAAGCTTGGTTAGCTTAGGTTTGATTAGGATAAGTTAGATTTGGTCACAATAAATTAGGTTAGATTAGATTAGGATAAGTTAATATTTGGTTAGGTTGTGTTAGGTTTCAATCCTCTTTCGTAGGTGATATGTTTCTGTTTCATTATATCGATTTTTTTAGGCAAATGAAAACACTTATCATGCATATGTACATTTTGTTTGCTAGACAACATAAATAATATAATTTATTTGTACTCATTAGCTGTATATGTAAAGTAATAGGACTAAATAAAGGTAGAATGTTAACCAATTTGTTATGACTAATTTTTCCCAAAAGCATGGGCGTCTGCAGCGGAATACAAGGGGGTGCAGGTGCCTCAATCAATTAAAGATTAATTTCGAGAAGAGTAATAAATCTGAGGCCTCTCCGGCAAGTGCAGTTGAAGGTTATTTGAGACTGTTCGTTGTAAATTCTACCACCCTCTAACTAAATCTTAATTCATCTTAATCTAATCTAACCTATCCTAACCTGATCTAATAGTTTGAGACTGTTCTTTGCAGAACATTGATCATTTCTTACTACCGACCACTTAAATATTTTCTTTAAAACTGATTTTTGTGTGGTAGTAAAACTACCGCACTTCTAGAGGACAAGTGTGTTTTTTCCTCTTGATTTTCTCCTACAATATCTGAAGGTTAAAACCGACGCAATATATATATATATATGTATATATATATATATATTAGAACAGAGAAAGATCTAGCGACTTATATTTTAAAGTAGCGAATTTGTAAAATATGAGTTGGCAACACTGAATTAAACAGCCAGCAGTAAACAGTGTGGTGGTGGTGATGGGCAAGAGATGGTCTTCACTACATAACCATGGAGAGCCACAATGCCAGCCGTCCTTGGAGGTACCAGCCGTGCATCACCTCAACTAATGGTAATGAAGAGTAGTTTAATATATACTTTTTGGTTGTTATTCGGTTTAGCACATCTTCAAATCGCATAGAAGCACTTACTTTTAGGCAATTTCTACCGCATATACTGTATACATTCCTCAACCCTTGAAGCCTATTGGAAACATGCTTTTTTTCAGAACAATTGCACAAGTGAGGAATGCCTAAGAAATAAATCTCCACCTGCCATTTCTTCTATTTCGCTGGGGTTAGGGCTCCCCGCAGGGGTTAGGGTTTCCTTGTAGTGTTCTGTGATGTAATGGTCAGCATGCTCGCCTCGCAAGCGAGGGACCCTGGTTCGATCCCCGGGCAGGGTGAAACTATGGGCGAGTTTTTTTACGCCATTTGCCTCGGTCTACCCAGCAGTAATTGGGGACCTGGTTGTTAATTGATTTGCGGATGGTGTTCCGGGGTAATGGTTAGCCAGTGCAGTTGGCGAGTTGTCTGGTCTTCTCGGACTATTCCTTGACACTGGGTCATGCAGCTCGTTAACTCAGGGTGTGGTTGTTGTGTTGGTGACAGCTTCTACACCTTAAACAAATTCACTCCTAGGTGGCCCTTGGGCCGGCCATCCTCGTTATACGAGGGGCAACCATTATGTTATATTAGGGTTACCGGCTATGTTAGGTTAGGTTTATTTAGTGAAAGTTGGGGATTTAGATGTTTGGTTTCTGATGTATTTGGATGTATACTTTGTTTAGATCTCACCTTCGTTTTTGATAGAAAATAGCCAGCTTATATCAAGGATGACTTGCCTCTTTAAAGAATAATGATGCATTTCCCATGGGAACTAAGTTCAAATCTGAACAAAACACACCAAAATACATCAGAAATCAGACATCTCGTGATAAAATTTGAGGGTGTGCTAAAAAAAATAATTACTCACTTTTGTTGTTTTGTTTAGAGGAAAAAAAGTTAGAGGTGGACGAAGAGAGAATTTTTGGGTGACGCTCTTTTATTTAATTTTTGCTAGTGGCTTAGGTAGTTACATGACAAATGTAAGTGTTTTTTTGTGCTTTAACCCCCACATTTTCCTTCATCTTCAAAGCCGTACCCATTGTGAAAAAAATAATTGTTGTTGCCAGTGTTAAAGGGGTCATATCTACATAGATGAGCATTAGCCACAGAAATACAGGTCACATTCATTCGTCTCACCATGAAATTCACATGTAAAACCTATTTCCATTATCAAATTCCTTTTATGGCATAAAACTAATCTTCACCTTTTTTTTTTACCTCTATAATATCTGATTAAAAATGAAAGAATTATTACATCCCTTCTCTTGTTTTTTAGATTACAGTATTTCGTCCTTAATGTGAATCTTCGTCGATGTATTTAACTTCCTGTGACCCACTTACTGTATGACATGTTTATTCAAGCTTTAAATGACAAATTTATTTAAACATTAAATCTTCTCTTCTACACACATGAAAAACTGGCAGGAACTTTCGATTTTTTTTGTCACTCGTAATGATATTTAAATACTTTAAATTATTGTACATGAAATTGATGATTATGAGGTACACTCGCTCCAAAAAGTATCTTTACGAATTTGTGCGAGACAATATGACACAATGGACAAATGATTTTGACAACCCTACCCAGACAGCAGGAGTCAGTGTGTTTATTTTGAAATTCGTTGGACCCCTCCACATAGTTATTTTTGGAGCAAGTGTACATAGTATGTACAGGACACCTAATCTATAATATTTACTGACTTGTATTTTTTGCTTAACCTAAATCCTCAAGTTTATTCCAGTTCAGTAGACACCTTCTATATTTAAAGTGTAAACACTATTCACAGGTTGCTCTGAGTCGGTCAAAATTCTAAGACTGACTGCTGTGCCATATCTGTTCACCTACCCCCAACCTGATGTTACCTCTCCAGAACCAACAACAGACTGTGAAGAGATCATTGTTGAATCTACTGAACAAAGAAAATCTGTGACTTTAGAGAACACAAGACAAAAGGATGTGGCAGGAAACAGAGTAAAGAAACCCAGAGGTGAGAATAAAGAATATGGTGGACATTCACTCTTAGCAAGTTTAAAGGAAGATTGGCTTCCTTCAGTAAGGGGTGAGAAAAAGCGAGCCGATTTCTCCTCAGCTCAGGTAATAGAAGATGATCAGCTTCCTCATCCGGAATTCAGCATAACTATTGATGATGATGTCACCGAGTGTATAGATTCATCACAGCATGAGGTGATCCCTTCAGTTAGTACTCATAAGAAAGATGATCTCTTCACAGTAAAGTGGCACAATAAAACAAGAGTCAAAAAGCAAAAGAGACTTAGAGCAGTTGACATCACACAGAGAAGGAGTCTGGCCAGAGGTCCACTAACAAGAAGTCGGCAGAAAAAACTGGTGAGAGCAGCAAAGATTTTACTCATAGACATCAACACAGTGTAAAAACTGCCTCTTATTGTTACATTATTTAATTTTTCCCAACAAAACATTGATCAGGGGAATATACTTGTGGTTATGGTGCTTTTGTCTCTTTGTTTATAGAAAAATAGTTCCACACTTAACATCTGTAGGGATGTTATAACAAAACTTCATACATACACACATATATATATATATATATATATATATATATATATATATATATATATATATATATATATATATATATATATATATATATATATATATATATATATATATATATATATATATTTATTTTTTCATAATTAATATTTGGCCTTGTCTGCATGGGTAGTATCACAAACTATTAATAGTGATCACAAACTTTCTGTACATTATTTCCAATATTTTCAAGTATAGTCACTACTGCAGCCTTGAGAATCTGGAACTTAGAAATCCAGTTCTTTAAATTATCCAGAAAATTACAACCTATACAAGGAAGGTATAAACACAGACCTGAAGTGCTGTATGAAGTTTGGTGACTTGCTCTCCTTATCCTCTTCTCCACTGATCAGCGTGTTAGCCGCTTTTCTTTGTGTAGCAAGAACAGGAAGGTGACTGAAGCTGCTGCCACTATCATCTTCATTCACAGTTCTTTGTGTTAATTCACTCTGTTAAACTGTTCATTATTTTTCAAACACTTCTGCACTTTATATGCCGACAAGTAATATTTTTTTGGTAAAAAGATGTTGAATAATATGGCTTATCAATGCTATAATTTGATATATTACCATAGAGAATATAGATAAATGCAGGATGTTAGTTTGATGCCACATTATGCAATATACACAGCAGTTATACTTTATATAAATATTCTCTTACTTGTACAAGGTCTTCAGTGGCCATGAAGATGTGGGGAACAAGTTGACAAGCTTCTCAGAAGGTCGAGGTGAGTCTAGAGAGAAGCATTGATGTTTAGTGTAACCAGTACTGTATATGGTATAAGAACTTGAGATAATATATATATATATATATATATATATATATATATATATATATATATATATATATATATATATATATATATATATATATATATATATATATATATATATATATATATATATATATATATATATATATATATATATATATATATATATATATATATATATATATATATATATAATATGTATATACAGTATATATATATATATATATAAAACTATTAACTCTGACCTGCACCTCACAGTTTCATGAATATTAATGACTTTTGACAAAATGACTGCAGTAACTGTGAAGTACTAAACATTGTTATCTTAAAAATTACTAACTAGATAATTATATGTGCAATGCTTAATTTGTAAAATATGAAGTGATGGAACTTTAGTGAGCCGAGACAGATGATGACCAAGTCTGTGGAACTGGCAGAGTGCTGAGTACACTATCTCCAAGAACTGTAGGGGCACATTGGGAAGAAATTATAAACATAGAACTCATATCAGCATTTATTGATATGTGATTACATTTATAATTTACTCATGCAAAATAAAAGTGCCGGACTTATTTCAGTTTTACTAAAACTCATGTGTAACATTTTTATTTACTTTAGTTTAGTTTTACATATAAATAATAGCATGAACTGTAATTGATATATCTTTAAGACATCTCACATAATGGTCTCCCCACCTTAATGCATATACAGGTTAGAGAAAGTTCAAACATAGAATATAAATTACTCTTTAAATTCTCATATATATTTGCTTCAAAAAGTATCTTTAAAATTTTTGTGTTGGACAAGAAACAACGGATGAAGGATATTGATAATCCTACCGAGACAACAGGAGTCGCGGTGTTCATTTTAAAATTCCTCGAACCTCTCCGTAAAGGTACTTTTTGGAGTGAGCTGTACACATTAGACAGCAAGTTCAATGAAATTACTCAGAAAGAATATAAGATGATGAAGTTATGACATTGTTGACAGGGTCTCTGGTTGATAAGGAAGATACGGACAGTGTTACAAGTGATGACCCTGACTTCATTGACCCTGATGACCCCAATGACCCTGACTTCATTGACCCTGATGACCCCAATGACCCTGACTTCATTGACCCTGATGACCCCAATGACCCTGACTTCATTGATCCTGATGACCCCGATAACTCCAGCGACCTCGAAAACCCAGATGATCCTGACCCTGTGGTAATGAGTGACAAGGAGACATTCAACAAATTTCCTCAAGATGGCTCATTATCCTCCTCAAAAGGTAAGATAAATTTCCCTTATAAATATGTATATGATATCTTAATTTTATTTAGATATTGTTATTATTATTTTACCCTTTTCGTTATGGTGAAACCTGTATATGAAGGAGTTTTCTCTCCATATAATCTGATAGATGAAGGTCACACATCTAACAGACCCTCGCTATAATGGACTTTCCTTTCCATATAGTCTGTTAAATAGAAGTTTCACTATATTATTTCTTATGATATATTGCAGACTGATAATATTTGAGGGAATATTTTTGTACAAGTATAGGTATGTAATTTTTACAATTTGGGTTAATTATGGTAATTAGTTTATCACCTGTGTCAATGGTAATATTCTGGTAATGTCTGTACACTTGGATGGTGATATATGAGTTGCTTGATTTGTTTGTTTATTTTATTTCAGATACGACGCTAAATGCTGCTTTCAAATGGGTAAGTGTGGCGTTGTTTTATCAATCTTTCCTTTTATTCTTTGCCTTTTTATTGGTTTTAATAAGTTTTGTTGGTTTTTATTTCTTACAGATGGTTTTTATGTTTTATAATAGCATTGGAAAAGGCATACGATAGTTTGAACAGAAAGCATTGTGGGAGGTATTACAAGTGTATGGGGTGGGAGGAAGGCTATTAATGCAGTAAAAGCATTCTATGAGAATAGCAGGACAGCAGTAAGAGTAAATGGGAAAGAAGGTGAAATAAATGTGGGTGTTAGACAGGGATGTGTTATCTCACTGGTTGTTCAATATACTGTAGACAGGATGTGAACTACTGTATTTTACACTGGTGAAAGTGGTGATAATAAGCTTTTTTAAAGGGCTGCACACATCTCAAATCCTAATTATAAGGGAGCCAAGTTGCCACTGTTCAGTATAACTGGTGACTGCTTCTGTTTATGGTTGGGCTCTGAACCTCTGATTCTAATGTGTTCGGATTATGTATTATATGGGTCCAAGGGAGCCAAGTTGCCACTGCACATCTCTCTCTCTCTGTAGGTACTCCTGAGCAAGCTACTTCCAAATCTGTGGTTGCCCATTCAGTTGTGGCATAATTAGTGGTTGTAATGATGCTTGGAAGAATGTAATTAATTCTTAGATTTTAGATATTTTTTCATTGCTAATTATTCGCCAACTGAAAGTTTCCGAGGTGTGATTTTGGTGTTATTCTGTAAGAATTTAATTAGTTAAACCCCTTAGATTTTGTTCAAAATCTCAGTACAGTATAGGTACTCCAGAGTCTGCTGCTTCCAAATCTATGGTTGTCCATTCGATTCCAATTCCAAGAGAAAAGTATATTTTTTTGTAAATACTCTGAAGAAGGTCTAGAAGAACACGAAAACATCAACAAAATACCTCGGAAACCAATAGTTGGTGAGTTCAGTAATTGACATTGAGAAAAATTTCATTGAAATCTTACAAGCATCATTACAACCACCAGCTATCCCACAGTCTATTGGTCGACCATAAATTCGGAATCTGCATGCTTAGGAGTACCTATACTGGCAAACAATCGTCATTATTAAAATCGATAAAATAATTAAAATTCTCCAAGCGTCATTACGATCACTAATTACGCTGCAATGAAAAGTGTTTTAAAAAATCCTATAAAGGCTTACATTTTAGGCCATAATCTTCATCTCACTGATTTTGTTCAAAATCTCAATATATGTACAGTACTCCTGAACATACTGATTAAGGATCTATAGTCTGCAATTTTATATCTGTATAATTACATCTCCAAATGACACCTCAAACATTTTAATTACTTTTCTAAAGCTAATTACTCACTGCCTTTCTGAGGAAATATTATTAGATATAGAAAAGGAGCATAAATATTATAAATCCACATTATGTTTCTATTAATGTATGTTATTTATTTTACCAAGATGCCGGAAGTTCTACAGACATTTATTACCCGATCAAACAAGCTCAGAATAGCTCACGTAACTGCCAGCTCAGTGATGGTGGTGAATCCTGCCTTTTATGTGGATGAAGAAAAGAAGAACATGGATTTTGACGGAGATACGGTATTGAGGCCGGTGTTTGCGATCATCAATGAGTCATGCGTAAAGATGATAGTTCTCGGCAAACTGTTTGAGGAAGTAGACATCGGCAATATTCAAGCTTCGATAGATATACTGAAGAAAGTTGAAAACAAGTTTATTCAGAACCAGTACATATTCTGCCCAGGTGTCAGTGAAACGTACATAAAAGCATGTCAAGCTGTGGGCATCAAGGTACCTCTTCATACATTTGACAAGTATTTCTATTGTGGCCGAGTGTCATATCATGATAAGATTTGTGAAAAGTTCTATAGAAAGAGTAATTCTGTGTCAATGAGCAAGATACAAGGTTATGCTTATACCTGCAGGTGCTGTAACCACAAGATTTATTACTACAGAGCTCGCTACAGACGTAGAAAATTGGGAGTCATTAATGTAAAAGTTCTTAAGACTCTCCCATCCCCTAACCTGTCCAAGAAGGTGTTTCCCAGATACCGGTATTCTCAAAATAGTTCACTCAGTGGACACCTCAGGAGGAGAAGCATGAGACACACGGATGTTGACTTAATAAAACTGTCTGAAAATATGAAAGAAAGGTTTTTTACATTAAACAGTAAACAGAACAAAGACTTTTTGGAGGTATTAACAACACTGAAGAATGATAAGTTATTTCTTGAGATCTTTAAGAGAGATTCCTCGGAGGCCGTTAATGCCAGAAAATGGGCCGCTCTCTATGTGTGGGACGGGGAAGTTAAGAAGGCAACTTATGTGAGGGATCGGTTGTTGGCTGATGAAACAGAGGCTTACAACAACTGCAATCAACTTAATGACCATTCGTGTGAGTCAACCATTCCTCTTTGCATTGACAGAAGGAGAATAATATTTTTAGTATTGATTCCTAAGGTTGTTAATCATATAGATAGGTGCTAGATAAGAAGACTCTATTTAATGAAGATTTGAAATATTACAGAAATTCTTTTTGTTATTTCAGCTGAAATTGCCAAAGACACTTGCATGCGGTACAAGAATGAGATCTGTAATCGCTGGAGTATGGTCACGTTCAGGATCGCCCTCGCCATATACCTGAGGAACAATGAATCTTACAAGTCAATTGAATCATTCAGAATCCTCGACCTGCCTTCACTACACCCGCTGAACGAGTACAATTTTGAGGTGGAAAACCAATCCAAGACACACTTAGTAAGATATTTCATCATGTAACTTGTGTAGCATAAATGAGGATGATGATGATGATGATGATGATGATGATGATTCCCCAAAAAATTGAGTTCATGTACAGTATTATCCTTAGTCTCTTTTCTCTTACTATATTTCATAGGTTATGATTTATAGTACTGTACAATGTTATATATTTTTTCAGGAATATATCAGCGAACAATCTAAGAAATACTTTGCATTATCTAAAGAGTATAAGGCAGAGGGACTTCCACCATGCCTGGCAGAAGGAGCCCTCATCATCGACCAAATGAAAATCATATCAAACGTTAGTACCACAAAGATTTCTTTGAGTGTCGTGTAAATTGGGTTTTGATAGAGTTAGAGATTTTATTCTGATGCTTGTGCGGTATTCTTGAGGTTTTGTGTTAAGTGGCAGTACAGTGTCAGTTAGTTTTGATATTAAATGGTAGTTCTATATAGTTTTTATAACAAATAATTATATCACTCAGTTTGTTTGGATACGAAAATGTTAGTACCACTCGGTCTTATATATTAGATATAGTATGACTGAGTTTTGATATTTATTATTAGTATCACATAGTTTTTATAACCTCTTTAACTGGTTAATAAGATCATTGACCCTTGACCTCTGATTTTGACCCAGTGAGAGTTCTTGTACATCCTTGAGTTAGTAATGATAAATCCTTACAGGTTTCAGATTGATCCTTCCATAATTGTAAGGCTAGTTTGGTTGACAGCTTTTAGGTGAATGAACATATCCGGTATCACATACACTCACACACAGGGCTTGAGTGATGACAATATTGCATGGCTAAAACTGTGTGATGGATGCAAAAGAGTTTTGTATAGTATATGACGATATGGTGTGAAGCCTCATCCTTCTTGAGCCTAATCCATGTAATATTGTGTAGGCGGTTTGGTACGGGATACACGAGTCCCTCAACGGTCATGACCTGAGCCAGGAGGAACTGTTGAGTCTTTGTGATATATTCAACGCATCAGCTGAAGTCAAAACACCTCGGCCTGATGGGTATGTACTTCAGACGGTGTGGCGGGACATGTGCTATGAACATGACATCATCGGGCCACACTTTCATTTGTCTCAAGATGTAAAGGGACCTCAACTGGCTAGTAAGTGTTGATAATTAAGATTACGATAGCATCTGCTAGTAATAATTCCTTGTACAGTATTAGTGGTAATTACTGTATGTCATGTCATGTCATTTTAGGTTCAGATCTTTGCACAGTTCATTGTGATGGTTGTTCAGTGTACAGTACCGAGTTATGAAGTTCACAAAATAATTGTTTTATATTCCTGATTGAGTGGTTGGTTAGATCCAGCAAGACCTCTGGCTTACTAGGAGAGCTTCATCATGTCTCGCACCAAGAACAATTCATTGGGATTCAAGCTTCCACCCTCTACAGCTCCTGCCAGTCTAGAATACTATGACAGAAAGAGGGAAGGAAAGATTAATGATTATCTCCTCTGAGGCTGATCCATCACAGGCATTGTAGAACTGTCAAGAGTCACAGGTAGCTGCAGGTGGTGTGACTGGCAGCTGGTAAATGGAAGTAAAGCAGAAATCCATAGTTAGGGGCATTCATGGCTTGGAGCTACTATGAACCTATCTCAGGGTTTTCATCTGGCAAATCGAAGATCTTGCTGGTTTGTCTCTGGTGTTTCTGGGTGAGGAACTGCTGCTCAAAAATTTTACAATGTCAGACAGGACAGTGTGTGGTTTACCCCTAGAACATGTCAGAGTTCCCCACTCAAGGCAGGTTAAGGCAGTGGATGTAGCTTACAGGTTACTCTTTAAAGACCCATTAGTAATATGAAGTCTTTTACCCTAGATATAAGTGACCTTAGGAACAGTTGTTTTTGCTGAAATTGGTCCTTTATGATTATAATGAGTAATTAGACATAATCAGTTAGACTAAATTGAAATTCTTATTCTCTTTATTGTGGTTTGTCTGTGGAGTCTATTTTATCTGTCTGTTACTGTATCTTCAATAAATTCTCTCCATTTTTTCAGGTTATCTTCTTTGGACCATTAAGAGTTTTAATGACTTTGGACTCAAGACAATAGCTGTTGTATGCGATTATGCCGCCATCAACGGAGCTTGTGTACGAGGAAGTCTTGGGGAGGGCAGTCCATTAGGGGTCCGCTCTGATGAATTCTCTGAAATAAACCCCACATTCACCAACCCCTTCGACCCTTCCATAAAAATATCATGGATTGTTTGCCCTAATCATATGGTTAGACATGAATACATTAGACCTGTTTCTTGAGGACTTTGTGTAAATGTGAAACTGCACATACACAAATACTTTAAGTAATTGTGGTGTTAATCTCTAGACACCATTAAAACTGTCCATTAGTTAAAGTTAATTGGGCTAGGTTTAATTGGTTGGTTTTGTCTGTCATCATTAACCCCTTCATTATGAGGACTCTACTCTTCATATTTGATTTTGTTAACGCCAGACGATTTTATTCAGCACAGAGGGGATCCTGTACACAAGGGGTTAATGGTTTATTTTGACAAACCCTCCAGGAGTTCGAGGCTGGATAATGCACTTAGAGAAAAAGTTAACTATGTTGTGTCTTATATACCTGCATCATTATAGTTGATTCATGTGAAGAACACCTTTGTAAATACAGATGATCAGTATAATGAATACCCTTTTATCATTGCAGCTGATTAATGTGATCAACGCCTTACACTCTTCTCAGCCTGAAGGGTCAAAAGATTTCCAGTATGGTGGCATCTCCTTTGGGTGGAAGGCCCTGGAGTTCCTTCTTGAGAATGATATAGAGAGAAAGAAAAAGAATGAACCCAGAATTGCTCCCCTTCTTCGCAAGAGCTACATTGAGCGTCGCCACACAATAAAGTTTCAGTATGCCCTGTTTCCATCAAGAATACTGCAGGTGAGTTCTGTTGGCCAGTTTTGTTCTTTCATGGTTGGTTTGGTGTTCCAGTTATTACTCTGAGTGAGACACATTGGTTGTTACTTCTACCACACCACCACACACATGTTGGTTGTTAGTACTACCTCACTACCACACAGACACACAGGAGAAACCTACAAAACAATGAACAATGTCAGACCTGTAATCATAAATTATTTTACAGATTATCATGACCTACTTCTTCAAAATCTGGGTATAGTATGTCTAGGTTTTGGCACTTTTGGTGAAAACATAGATTCTGTTAAAATTTCGTACATTTTGGTAAAGGATCTGGGTTTAAAATTAAAAAATTCATGGAATTAGAATGTTAATTAATGAGGTTTGAATTAATTTAATACGTTTAGAGTATTCGAACGTCAATTGCGCGGTGCCCATAAGTTTTAAATATTTTTCATATACATTTTGTCAAGAAAATAGACTAACTTTACCATTTAACCTAACATGTTACTGTAGTTCTCGCTTTCTAGAAAAAAGCCGCTTATTAATTAATTCCCAATTCTCGTAAATTATTTTCCCTTTCAGACAATGGAGGTCTTGGATGCTCTAGAAAAGGAAACTAAACAAACAGTGCATGAAGACCTAAAACCTATGATGGAAAAGACTTGGGAATTTTTAACAGCATCCAACAAAATTTTTGAAAAGGGTTTACTGAGCAACTCTGGTGTTACTGCTACTGATGAAGAGGCCATAAGTAACATGGTGGAGGGGTATCACTGGTTCTGTGAATGGCAGAAACAAGCACACAGTAAGTTATGTTATTAATTTCTTCATATGTGTTCAGTATTCTACTACAGTAATTTTATCTATATTATAACCCTTTGGGCATCAGTAAGTGATTTGTGGCATCCATATTGTTAAAACAACTTCCACTCTAACCTATTGCCACAGAACCTTGACATATTTGAACTCTTGACTGAGAAAATATTTTAACTCCTTTTCTCCGGGGATGCCACTTTTAATACTTTATTTGATTAACACCGTACAATTTCATTCAGTAGAGAGAGGACACCGTACACAAGTAGCTGACACAGCTTTTGACTAATTTTTTACCATAGGTTTTATTTAATGTTCCTAAAAGATTAATGATGTGGTTCATTTGTTTAACGTTTCCTGAATATTTACTTTCCTTTTGTAGCAGCAACTGACTTTCAAGTGAGGAATCCCCGACAGAAGGAGTTTCTGTCCTGGCAGACGTGGGATGGGCTGCAGCTCTCAGTGCATGGATTCAAGAGCTTATGCAAGAACTTCCACAGCAGACATCCAGACAGAGCCATTGTGCCCATCAGACTGAATGGGATTGCAGTTGAGGATATATTTTCTCTAGTGAGGCATCATTGTGGCACTGGCAGAGGGAAGGCAAAAGTTTCAGCATTGAGTTATCCTGTGGGACTGTCTGAAGTTAAGTTTCATAGAAAGCTAAAGAGAAAGCATAAGAGATATGACATTGTACAAAGATCTTGCAAGGAATTGAAGATGTCATAACTGATAAATACTGTACTCTGGCGGCCAATGCCTTAAAACTTACCAATACTGTTAAGTACAATATTGCATTACTGTATGTCTTAAGAAATACAAGAACCAACATATTCTTATACAGTGAAATTTATGTACATGTTATTGAAGTCGGAGAAATCTAATAAAATCAAGTTAAGGTTAAAAATAAAAGTTTTTTTGATTACCAAATACTGTATTGATTTTACCTATCATATATGTAAGATCTTTTGGGCCCAGAATTTATTTTATAATCTGGGTTTAATGATGTATAAATGGATATGCCAGTAGTGTATTTCCACCACTACCACCACTGTCCCCACCACTACCACCACTGTCTCCACCACTGTCCCCACCACTACCACCACTGTCTCCACTACCATCACTGTTCCCACCACTACCACCACTGTTACCACCACTGTCCCCACCACTACCATCACTGTCCCCACCACTACCACCACTGTCCCCACCACTACCACCACTGTCTCCACCACTGTCCCCACCACTACCACCACTGTCTCCACTACCATCACTGTTCCCACCACTACCACCACTGTTACCACCACTGTCCCCACCACTACCATCACTGTCCCCACCACTACCACCACTGTCCCCACCACTACCACCACTGTGTCCCCACCACCACTGTCACCACTGTCCCCACCACCACCACTGTCCCCCACACTACCACACTGTCCCCACCACTCACCACTGTCCCACCACTACCACCACTGTTCCCACCACTACCACCACTGTCCCTACCACTACCACCACTGGCATGTTACATAGGAGTGAGGAAAGGACTTGGCATGCTACAGGGGTGAAGGGAAGGACTTAGTATGCTGTGTAGGGAGTGAGGGAAGGACTTGGCATGCTACAGGGGAGTGAAGGAAGGACTTAGTATGCTGTGTAGGAGTGAGGGAAGGACTTGGCATGCTATAGGGGAGGAGTGAAGGAAGGACTTATGATGCTGTGTAGGAGTAAGGGAAGGACTTGGCATGCTACAGGGGAGTGAAGGAAGGACTTAGTATGCTGTGTAGGAGTGAGGGACGGACTTGGCATGCTACAGGGGAGTGAAGGAAGGACTTAGTATGCTGTGTAGGAGTGAGGGAAGGACTTGGCATGCTACAGGGGAGTGAAGGAAGGACTTAGTATGCTGTGTAAGAGTGAGGGAAGGACTTGGCATGCTACAGGGGAGTGAAGGAAGGACTTAGTATGCTGTGTAAGAGTGAGGGAAGGACTTGGCATGTGTTAGGAACCGTCTTTATTTGGTAACTTAAGTGACATGACTACTATATTTTCTATATATTATTGTAAATATTCTTTTATTATTTCATAACTTGATCCGTGTTTTATCTCATTGTTTTATGCACTCTTACATTAGTTGATAAAGTATGATGTTATATTTAGGATGATATGAATAATTGTAAGTACACATGTTGGGAATGCTGGGCATAACGACGTTCTTTTGTTTTGATGTTGCCACCTTGGGACGTGGAAGACTTGACAAATGACAGGCTCAGGCTTTCCACACTCAGCTGTCACTTGGAGCAGACACTCCGGGTTTTTACCTTCCACTGCCTTCTCTCTTGTATCTGAGGTGCGGTGGGGGTTCTTCGGGTGGTCCTATGGACGTGGAGGCCTTGGTTGTTGCTGTGTATGCGGTAAGACTGATATTTTCGTATATTTTCTTGGAATGGCATTTACCCCAGTTCATACATGTATTGCCCCTAAGTATTCTTGGATAGCAGTGTTTGTATTACACAGTGCTATTTCATTTTGGTGTTCTTGTGCATAAGACATTTAAATATGGAAGATAAGGAATAACCATATTTATTTTTTGTTAAGCTTTGTTCCAATAACACTGGACCGTCTTTCACTAATTATTTTATCTTATATCAATAACTTTGAGTGACCTATGTCTAAAAATATATATGGTTGTTCAATGTATTGTTTCCACGGCAGCTTTTTGCGTTTGTGTTCGGTAACTGTCCCAGTGTTGGAATTTTGGTTGTTTGTGGTGTGAAACTTTTAATTACTAAGTGACATTCCAGTGCTTTGAAGTCCATAAGTAAATAAGCGGGAAGTGTTCATAACAGCATGTTACATATGCGTGAGGGTACGACTTGGCATGTTATGTAGGAGTGAGGGAAGGACTTGTCATGTTATATAAAAGTGAAGGAAGGACTTGTCATGTTACATAGGAGTGAAGGAAGGACTTGTCATGTTACATAGGAGTGAAGGAAGGACTTGTCATGTTATATAAAAGTGAGGGAAGGACTTGTCATGTTGCATAGGAGTGAGGGAAGGAATTGTCATGTTGCATAGAAGTGAGGAAAGGACTTGTCATGTTACATAGAAGTGAAGGAAGGACTTGTCATGTTACATAGGAGTGAGGGAAGGACTTGGCATCTTACGTAGGAGTGAGGGAAGGACTTGACATGTTACTTAGGAATGATGGAAGGACTTGTTGTCATGGTCACAATAGCACGGCTAGTATGTTCTACACTGAATTATTCATATCCTCCAACATCCAGAAAACATGTGTGAAACTAAAGAGTTACCCCTAGAGAGAGACGTTTTCCCTAGCCAGAGGTTCCATCCATTTTATCTTAAACATCTTGAAATGTCTCTTCCAAAGTAAATTTAACTTTAAGAGATAACCTGTATCAGTAGCCTTAGTCAGATATACATACACTGATTTAAGGCCTTCTAGGTGTGGTGAGTTTGTTGAAAGCGTCATATTAAGTGAATTTAACTTATTTGTGCTTTGTTTGTATATGCAAGTTATCCAGTAACGTAATTTTAAGTCTGTAGTAAAGTGCTAGGTGCCATCAGCTTACAAGATGTATTTTATGACATACGTGTCAACTCATTTTGTCCTGACTCTCAAGTTCCTACTCCTCTGTGTTACAGGTGACTGAATAAGCCATGGGTGGTCGTTATATGCCAGGACGACATCCAGCATCAGTATGGAGATGGATGAAGGCTGTTAAGATCTGATAGCGCCGTGTAAGATGCTGGTGTGGTGAGCTGAAGATCTTACGAACAGCCAGCCGCCGTTCAGAGGAGGTGGCCAGAACGTGTTGGTTGTCCACGTGTTGATATCTCGTGTGTGAAGTAAGTAAGACCATCTCATAAGCATTGTTATGAGTCCACATCGATAAGTAATTACTTATTGGGTGTGTTATTCATCCGATTGACCAAGTATGTAATATACTCAGTTGTAAGGGTTGTCATGTTACGTAGGAGTGAAGGAAGGACTTGGCATGTTACAGAGAAGTGAGGGAAGGACTTGTCATGTTACGTAGGAGTGAAGGAAGGACTTGGCATGTTACATAGGAGTGAAGGAAGGACTTGGCATGTTACGGAGGAGTGAAGGAAGGACTTGGCATATTATATAGGAGTGAGGGAAGGACTTGGTGAGCTGTGTAGGAGTGGTCAAAAGTTCACAGTGAGGCTTCGTGACGTGAATGAGGCCTCGACTCCTTCATACTGAACCGTCAACCATCCGAATCCCAGCTTAATAAACACCATTACTGAACCACTAACGATAAAATAACAACCCTAATTAATGATTAATAACTGGTTAACTTAAGTTTATTTATTTAATTAGTTTAAACTACTGAATTGAAATTGATTTACTACTCGTGGACTGATTCGGTGTTTCGTACCATTGTTGTGGTCCTGGTAATGACGTCATCAGTGAGCGGGGTTAATAAAAGAGGTGTTTGAACTGTTAATTGGTTGTTGTGCTTGTTTATAATTTATATTTATATGACAGTAGACAAGAATGATAATACAAATATTAAATACTTGGTTTATGATTATTCTTGTAAAGTATGAAGTTATGGACACACACACACACACATCACTTGCCATTTCAAACTTCCTTACAAAAATGGAGACAGTGTTACCACATCCATCATCACTCTCCCTTCCCAAAGTCACAAGTTTACCAAGACTTACACTCATCAACAGTGAGGTGGCAACACTGTACTAAGAATGCCCCATATATGGATACTGCCCACACACTCCTCAGTGCCCCCACATCCTAATATCACCCATCTAGTTTAACTCCTTAACGGCTATTATCGTATAAAGGGGGTTTATATATTATAGTGGCAGGGTCGTGTATATATGAGAGTGATATAGGAGTGTGAACCTTAGTGACGAGAGGCAGAATGACCGCGGGTTATATATTATTATGACCCCTCTGGCATATATGGTGTCTGGCCCCTCATACCACCAAGGAGTGTTAGAAGGTTCACTAATCATAGATGGAGTTTACTGGAAGTCTTGGAGGTTGTTAAAATGTATCACACCTCTTCAATAACAACTAAGGTCTTTTAAACACGTAATTCAAGTTAATTATTAGTTACCACTAATTCCAATAAGTTCGTATGTTAATTTACACCCAATATACACCAATAACAAGTAACGTATAAATGCATGTAAAAGATATCTAAAACGTAAACAACATTAACAACAAAATAACACTGAGACCTTACCTGAACTAGATACTGTGTAAAGATCGTAAGTTAAAGGAACGTAATAACACTGAGACCTTACCTGAACTAGATACTGTGTAAAGATCGTAAGTTAAAGGAACGTAATAACACTGAGACCTTAAACTAGACTGTGTAAAGATCGTAAGTTAAAGGAACCACTGAGACCTTACCTGAACTAGATACTGTGTAAAGATCGTAAGTTAAAGGAACGTAATAACACTGAGACCTTACCTGAACTAGATACTGTGTAAAGATCGTAAGTTAAAGGAACGTAATAACACTGAGACCTTACCTGAACTAGATACTGTGTAAAGATCGTAAGTTAAAGGAACGTAATAACACTGAGACCTTACCTGAACTAGATACTGTGTAAAGATCGTAAGTTAAAGGAACGTAATTTATGAATCTTTGTGAAAATAGAAGACTAATATACTCTTAAAATCTTACGAATCCTCAAGGTGATAATTCCAGATTCCTTCCAAAAATCGTAAGTTAGATTTTCCTTGTAACGGGATGACTTAAGATAAAAACAAACTTATTAATAAACGAATAAACATTAATGCTATCACCCTAAGATTTACATTAAGTAAATACGTTCAATCAAGCGAAATAAACATAAGGTAATCTTTGAGAGACTCGGCCTGGTTTGTTACACCTGGAACTAGTTTTTCTGTGCGGTGACTCTGATGACTGAGGGTACAAAAAAGTATCGCAATATTTACTAATAGGGGAAGACGTGTGAATATATTAAGTTAGGTTGGCAGAAGCTGAGGAAGAACTATCTATCTATGTCTTCTTTTGCTTCTAGTGCGTCAATGTCTGCGTCTGTATCTACTGTCGCATCTTCGTTAGTTTAACTGAAGGGGACGAATGTCTTATAATGTTATGATTTACGTTTTCTATGTTGCCTGAACCTTCTTATTATAGGGGTGTCTTAAGTGTTCCGGACGACACACAGACAGGTAGAGAGAGAGATGCATAAAATCAGTAAAAAAACAGAAAATAAACACATAGTCAGGATTCGCACAGGACAAATTCTTCCCTCACTGAGAAACACATCTAACTGGTCTCCTCACGTGACAATACACCAAGATGGCGTCAAAACTGTATCAAGACTCTAGGTGAGGTAGGTCTTTTTTTAACTCCGCCCCCCTCCTCCTCCGCCTCTTCTCCAGTTAAGAGTGAAAATTTCAGATACAAATCTTTAAAAATTCTTTCTCTTTCACTCTCTTTGTTGTGAACGAAAATCAGTGAGAAAATGGATGGACTCAACCGAAATATTTCAAACGTAAGTCAGTTCAGAGATGATGGAGGCCTTTACAGACATCATATTGAACGATAGTTAAAGAAAAACATTGAAAGTTTGTATAAAATGACCGAAAATCAGAGAGAAACCGTCGAGAATCACCTGAAAATGCTGTGAACGAAAGCCAGAGGGTAGGTTAGTGAGATGTCTATAGCGAGGAATTGTCCGTAAGTCAGTGGGAAATGTGTGGTGGTGTGAGTGTGTGTGCGTGGGCGAGGGAGGAAGGCAGGAGCGAGGAGGAGGAGGAGACTGACTGTTGGTGGTGCAGCCTCAGTGTCCACTCCTCCCTGTGTCTGTGAACGTCTGTCCCGCTCCCTCCCAGGTGAACTAGCTCACTCACTCATTCCTCCCCTCACTCACTCACTCATTCCTTCCCTCACTCACTCACTCATTCCTTCCCTCACTCACTCACTCATTCCTTCCCTCACTCACTCACTCTCTCCCTCCTTCCCTCACTCACACCCACCGTAGTGTTAGTAAACAAGACAACGTTCGTGAATGAAGTTTTCCCCCAAAAATGTGTGAATTCGAAAACGCTTGAAAAAAAAGTATTATATGTAATGTGAATTTTTAACCTATTATCAGACTTTAATTAGAAACAATGATTGAAAACACGAGAAATAAGAGAGAAAATAAGGAAAATCATCAGTAGAAAAGACTGAAGGAGTTTGTTGTGATAATTAAACTTTGTGGCTGGAATTCCGAAGATTTTTAAAAGAGTTTTGTGTAATAATTAGACTTTTACGAAACTGTATGATAATCAGACTATAATTAGACTTCCTGTACGAACAATACCTAAATTACGACAAATTAAAAAATAAGTGAAAAAGACTAAATAATTTCGCTGTGAAAAAATAATTATTTAGTTTGCGTCATCATTGTTATTATTTCAATCAGACTTTACGTGTCGTATTTTGAGTCGAAATAAAACAACAGTGAGTTTAATTTGATATTTTAAGCAATAGTGAATTCGAAAACAAAAACAAATTACAATACAAATAAACCAAACAAGTGAACAAATACACAAAAAAAACGAATTCATGGAAGATGTCAACATTTTTCTTGATACAAACAAAAAAATATCGTCTCCCCAAATTTACTTCTTTGGTAATATTTTTCTTTCACGTGTCAGGGCATAGACCAGGTGAGTAGATTAATGGCCAATTTAACCCGTGTTAGCTTGATAATACTGTGGCCTATCAGACTTGTGGCCCATCAGTCGTGTGGCCCATCACTCGTGTGGCCATATATGCAGCTTATTAATGGCCACCTATTAAACACAAACGTCATGACTGATTGAACATAACACCCGGAGGTTTACAGCTGATGGAACACACACACACACACACACACACACATGCCCTAACACACACACACACACACCCTAACACACACCCTAACACACACACACCCTAACACACACACACACACACACACACCCTAACACACACCCTAACACACACACACCCTAACACACACACACACACACACCGTAAAAAACTAATGAAAGCTCCTGTAATTCTCCTTAACACAGTGTCTCCAGGCGTTCAGGTACAAGGCTCACTATCTCTCGCTGTGTTGAAATCTCTCACATGTGTTCCCTCGCTCAGGTGTGTGGCTGTGGTGATCAATTACCTGGCGAGATATAGGTAGGGAGAACTTCTCTCTTTAAGAGGGAGATAGAGACACAGAGAACATACATACATACATCTCTAAGAGGGTAATTCTCTGTTTGAGTCAGCATATGACCTACCTTGACCTATGATTGTGCTGGGTGCTAGGAGAGGTAGAAGGGGGTACGGTAGGAGTCTTCCTCCCCCCCACTTCCCTTCCTATCCTGATGAAAGTACCTAGGAAGGCCTGGTGACCTTCCCTACAACCCAACATCATCCTCCTCTTCCCCCTTCCTCCTCCTCCTCTTCCCCCTCTCTGTCACTCTCTTCTTCTATCTCTCCGCCCCTCTCTCCTATTCTTCGTAAGTGTTTTATGTTGACTCAGTTAGGCTACGTTATGTCTCATTCCCCAAAACAACCCAATAACCTTCTTATTTCCGGGTTTTGGAACAACGAAGGTTTTTTTTACTGTTATACAAACCAGTCATAACAACTATAAAAACCGCTTGACAATGAAGAAACATAATCCACGCTGCCAGGGTTACGGCCACCAGCGACAAGTTATCAGCCACGGAACTGTAACTCACTCATGAAACGAAAATAACACGAAATAACAACACGAAAATAACAAGAAACAGATGATAACGCAAAAGAACAGATGATAACGCAAAAGAACAAAAAATAACACGAAACACTACCAAAAAATAAATCCCCCAATAAAACAAAATAAATCAAGTGGAAAATACCAAACGTGAAATAACAAAATAACGAAGAATAACATTAGATGAAATAAGAAAAATAACAATAAGAATAATGATAATGACGTGTGTTGTGAAGATACGTGACTGTCTCTCTGGTCAGGTGTTGGCAGACTGACCCTGTGTGAGTGTGTTTGAGGAGACGGGAAGAGGCACAGCTTAACACATCTTTTACGACGCGGAGCAAAGGTAAGGTATACAGTGGTAGTTCAGGGCGTTTAGGTCATTGTCTGTTTGTGTCTGTCTCTTTGTTTCTGTCATTTTTTCTGTATATCTGTCTATCTGTCTTCTCTCCCTTCTCTGTCACTTTCTTTCCGTCTTTCTCTCGTTCTTTCTGTGTGTTTCTGTCTCTTCCTCTCTCTCTTTCCTTCCCTCTGTAGTTCTGTTTATTCCTTCTTCTCACTTCCCCGCTCCCCCCCCCCTCTCTCTCTCTCTGAACGCAAACAACCACTGGAACATTCATACTTGCTGCATGAAACGAAACATTCACCCCAGAATAAATTAACATAGATGTAATACAAACACAAATCTCACTTCCTGTTTTGTCTTACACTAAAGAACAAACAAATCACCTGTACATCTTTTGTTTATATTTGAGGTGATGACGTCATATGTTGTGGTTCGGAGTCTCAGGGATCCCAAATATAAAAAAAAAATCTCACCATAATAACACACGGCTAACAGATTTAATCCTATATACGAGACGAAATTCAGAGAGACCAAAAAAAAATTATCGATATCAGATCATACTTTAATTAGACAAGATCAGTCGTCATTATTTACGAGGATGGAATTACTGCACGTACATATATCTTCAAGAATCCGGATCTACATAAATTCGCCCACGTCACCTCAGAGCTCAGCATCCATGAACACCTGAGGACTTACACCACCTTCTTACTCACAAATCACAGGAGTGTTGAGATCAGGGCCACACCTTAGCTTACGTCTCACAAACATTAAGTCACTATTACGTGTCGAAGGCGAAGGCGTACCGTCCACCTCCGGTCACTAGTACACACACACACGATGATCTGTTTACTACGGAACCAAACATTTATTTCCTGTGATAATCATATAATTTTTTTTTTGGTATATATAGTTTATGTATTAAGTTCCTTCGACAATATACATTTATTTTAGCATTTTGTGCCCAGTAGGTCTAAGTACATGTTTACATTCAACGTTTTCTCTTTTGTTTTTGTTTTACGAATTTTTAATATAAACAACTTTTGACACTGCTTGACCCATATATATCGGGAAATACACTATTAACATCTCCATAATTTATATATATATATATATATATATATATATATATATATATATATATTAGTAATTGTTTTAGTTTTAAAGTTTATTTAGTACTCATATTTCTACTCCCTAAATGATCAGTGATAACTCGTTTATAATGTTCGTCCGTCCAAATGGTCAACGAATTTCTTTTTTCCGCTATAATTCTTCTTAGACACAACAGACTGATTTTATTCTTGGTGAGAAAATAAATCAAACTGGATTCTTGCTGGAGAAGTTGGTGGTGTTGGCGAGCCAGAGATTAATATCAAGTTATGGTCATTTTTCCTTCTGCTGGGAGAGGTGTGAGAGAAGCACCATTTTCCCTGACCTTCATTATGTGGGATTCTCTTCATTATTGTCTTCCTGGCCTGACTATTGTTAATTTTGGTAATGGTGGTATTTTTTTTATTTCCCTTTTAATTTATCTTGAATAAATTCCATATTATCTCTGATTTTATGGATTTTGTGGTTTTGTTATAAACAAACACACACACACACACACACACATACCCTCGACCTTGAGAGCTCCCACTAGTCAACATATTTCAGTGACCACATCAGCAATTCCTCACCCACCACCCCGCCTCTCTTAACACTATTGATGACGGCAGCTGAGAGAGAGAGAGAGAGAGAGAGAGAGAGTGAGAGAGAGTCAGTCACCCTCATAGCTTCCCAGCACACGCATCGTGATCTTCCCCAGAGAAAAATGTGGCGTGTGTGTGTGTGTGTGTGTGTGTGCTTTGTCCTGGCCTGCCCTCACACCTCTGCGCTGCTTCATACTCTACCATACACACACACACACACGCACACACACACACACACACACACACACAGAATCTTCCACGTCACCTCACCTGACAATTACAGAATGCAGAAAAATCTCAATTAAAGTTGGCTAAATGACAGGAAACCTTAATTACAGGTATATAAATAACAATAAGTCTTAATCACAGGTGTATAATATGAGAGGAAATCTTAGTTATTTAATAGTTAGGTAGCAGTGCATCTTAATTATATACAGTATGTATAAGTAAGGGAGCGACCATGAGTGACGGTGAGGGACGGTGAGTGACGGTGAGGGACAGGCAGGGTGACGTAGATAGGAGGCGGTGAGCGTAAAGGAGTGGATAGCATTGCGACGAGTAAATTTTTATCTTTAAGGATAGATAGGAAGTAAGTCCATATACTGCTGATGGATGATACTCGCTGGATTATATATAAAACAAAAGGATAATCCATTAATCCAACACACAGTGACACAGACTAACACACACACACGTCGTCATAAACCCATCATTCCTTGTACACTACTACACTCCTGACGCTGATTTACATTGTTTCTGTCCGTGGGATGGTATCGACAGGAGGGAGAAAGTTGTGTCACCCAAAAGTGGCGTTCCTCAAGGCTCATTGGGTGTTCTCCTGTTTGTTTTGTCGTCTTGAGAGAGAGAGAGAGAGAGAGAGAGAGAGAGAGAGAATATTGCATTTGGACCTAACTGCTTGGCATGAATCATACTATATTCTCAAGGATACATTGTCTAAATTGGCCAAGTCTAAATTTAGGAAGCCCAAAAGGAGTCCACACCAAGTCCAGAGTCTAGTCAGTATCTAAAGTATGATTCAAATCCAAAGTCTAAATTAAGTGTAAAATCCTTATGTTAATTTTCCGGGTTTAGAATTTAGTCACTGTTAAGTCCGGGTTATGTCCAGAGTACAGATTGAGTACAAAGTCTAAAGTGAGTTAAAACCAAGTTATAAGTCCAAGTTATCCACACAGATCCACGTTTAACCGAAGACTTTATCCACTTAATCCATCCATTGCTTATGTTGTCAATAATATTAGGCGATCTACAGTAGCCTAGAGCTATTGTGGGGGTGTGGGAGAGTGGTGGTGTGGGAGAGTACAGTATGAGTGTGTGTGTGTGTGTTGGAGTGGGAGAGTGTGGTACTGTGGGAAGGTGGATGTGTGTGTGAGAGGGTATGCATGTGGGTGTGTGGGGGTGTGGGAGAGCATGAATGTGGGAGCTTGTGGGAGTATGGGAAGGTGTGTGTGGGGGGGGGGATGTGTGCGTATGTGGGTGTGGAGCAGGTAAGGTATGTGGGATAATGTGGGGCACGTTTGGGAGAGTGTTAGGCACGTGGGGCATGTGGAGGTGTGGGGCGTGTGTGGGAAGCGATGGGCGTGTGGGAGGAAGGTGGATGAGTGCTGGCAGGCAGGGATGCATACCTCCCTGGGCTATACTGCTCCTGGTTCTAGTGGATTGAAGGACGTGTCGTTTCTCACCTCACAGGAGAACAACACAACACAACACACACACACACACACACACACACACACACAACACACACACACACAAGCACACACACACACACACACACAACACACACACACAACACACACACACACACACACACACACACACACACACACACACCCCATTTGATCAACAGCAATACAAAAATTCACAGGTTCGATTTTTGCCCTGAATAGTAAAATTGATTAATAACTAGATTTTGAATCATTTTAGCAGCACCAAGTTAACGTAAATATCTATAATTTTCAATGTTAATTTTATTCCCTTATACGATGTTAAGTTAAATGTTAGTTAGGGTAATTTGATGATATATTTACTAACGAGGGATTTTTTATCTTACGCACCTCTGAGAATTTGCAGCCAGGAGGGCATCGGTACCTTTCTTAATATAGTCTACCTGTATGGTGATTACAGGTGTGAGGTGGCAGGTGTATGGAAGATAGTACTCTCAGGTATGTGGAGACAGGTGTATGGAGGATAGAACTCTCAGGTGTGTGGAGACAGGTGTGTGAAGGATGGTACTATCAGGTGTGTGGAGACAGGTGTGTGTGGAGACAGGTGTGTAGAGACAGTGCCGAAGTTGGTGCTGGCTGGGCGATGGACGCTGATTCATTGAGGCAAGAGAACGTTAGTAAAGATGCCGTGTTGTTTCGTTCACCTGTTCCATAATGAACTGCAGGTGTAACTACTGTTGTCTCTCTCCCCATAACTCTCTCCCTCACAACTGTTCCTCCCACACCACAACCCTCCCACACCACAACACTCCCACACCACAACCCTCCCACACCACAACCCTCCACACCCACAACAGTCCTACACCACAACCCTCCCACACACAACCCTCCACACACCTAGCCCTCCCACACCACAACCCTCCCACACCACAACACTCCCACACCACAACCCTCCCACACCACAACCCTCCCTCCCCTCCACCTCTCTCACCACAACCCTCTCTCCCACCCCTCGTCTCTGAGCCAATAACCTTTCAAGTCTCCTTAACTATAGACACGACAAGTGATACTATAACTTAGACATTTAATTCTAGTAACACACGTACAGTTGTTAATGTTCTGAAAGCTTTGAAAAACTTAAAGAACATTCTGAGACATTGCACTGACTCTCTACTGTCCGTTGGCTGGCTGGCTGGCTGGTGGCAAGAATGTTGTAAGTCACTTTAGGGGTGAAGGTTGAACACGCAGGATAATTGTAAGGATTAACAGTCTTAAAGTAGGTGCAGGGTCTGTTGTTTTGTGACCGACTGGAAGATGGAGTTCAGGAGGAGGAGGAAGAAGAGGAGGAGTGGGAGGAGGAGGAGGAGGAGGAAGAGGAGGCCAATATTATTTCCTGACTCCTTGTTCTCTGTTGAAGTTGAAGTTCCTCTCTCGTTCTTTTTGTAAGTCTCTGGCTGGTGTTGTCGAAGCCATCAGGACTCAACCCTTTACCAACCACCGGAATTCCCCCACAGTAAAATCGACCGCATTGACCAGGGTAAAAGGTGTTAAACCGTTTCAGTACCTCGTTAATATAGTTGTTATAGCACAGAGCTGAAGGTTAAAGGCCAAATTACGTAAGGGT